GCTGAGGCCCTCTTGGCAGCGGTGAATATAGTTGCTTGGAAGGTTGTATGCGGCTGACTGAGAAACTGCAGGTCTTGGCTCTGGCACCTTTTCAGAGCCCCTGGGTCAGGGTAGCCCTGCATGGTGGGGGTGGGTGGGGTGCTCTGGATCCCCCTGGACAGTGAGGCCCAATGAGAGGCTCTCCTGGACTGTTTGCAGGGATAAGGGGCTTTCTCCCTCGTGGGCAGCTGTTCAAGTTTTTGAGCCAGAAGGGTGTCCGTAACCAGATCTCTCCCAGGAGGCGCGGCCAGTTCAGAATGGACCTCAGGGGAGGCCCATGCAGTTGGACATCAGATAGGGCGCGTGAGGATATCTGTGCCAAAGATTCCACGCAGGCCTGTGTCCCAGCGCCCCTGTGCTGAGGGGTGGCTGTGGCTGAGCTGGTGCTCGGGACAGACCAGAGCATCAGGAAAACAAACATGGGGTCACCCAGAGCCTTGCCTGTCCTCCTCTCTTGGGTACAGTGGTGGCTAGGAGGGCTGGACCTGTTCAGGGCGGAGGCCCCACTGGCTTCTGGCCTCAGAGCTTGTGCCCAGAGCCTGTGCGGTCTCCTTGCTCAGCGGCTGCTCCCCCGAGCCCACGGCTCATGCTCACTCTGTGGCAGCCCTCCCCGTACCCTCCTTTCTCTGTCCTGGCAAAGTGACAGCGCCCCACATCTCAGACCAGCTGTTCTTGGTCTGGCCCCTCGGCTGCTTCCCCGGCTGTATTGAGATAGAATGGCATCCACACCGGGGGAGTTCAGGCTGCAGTTCCATGATTGATGCACAGATGTGTCTAAAGTGGTGGCCACAGCGAGGTAGTTAATACCCCCCACTTCCTCACGTAGCTGTGCCGTGTGCGCTCCTTTTGAGGTCAGTCACGTGCCCTGTTTTCAGTGTCTGCTCTGCCGTGTCCCTGGCAGATGGGTTTACCACCCGGCCCTGGCGCCGTGCAGCCCCTGGCGTGGGACCTGCCGACGGGCAGAGGGCGCGGGGGTGCTTGCAGTTACCATCTGCTGAAGGGGGAGGAGTGTTTTGAGGGGGTCCCTGGCTCATGCCTGTTCCTGTTTCTCCCTCCCCATGGGTCATCCCAGCAGAGGAGTGGGGGCCCTGCCCGGAGAGGGCCCGGGTCAGCAGGGCCCCCACCGCGACTGGGCGCTCTCGTCCTCGCCCCACGTGGAGCGATCACCCATCCTTGGCCTCTGTTTAAATATCCATATTCTGGTAAAATGTTGATAACACAAACGATCTGAACCACCTTTCAGTGCACATTTCAGTGGCGTTAAGCACATTCACAGTGTCTTTCAGCCATTCCCACCCTCCATCTCCAGAAGTTTCTTATCTTCCCAAACTGGAACTCCAGCCCCTGGCACCCAGCACCTGCCTCCTGTCTGTGGCTGGGACTCCCCTCAGGCCCTCCGGCAAGTGTGCGTGAGCAACGCAGGATTGTCCCGTGTGTCTGGCTTATTCCGCTATTAGGATGGCCTCAGGTTCCCTCCACACGGCATCGTGTATCAGAATCTCCTTCCTTTTTAAGACTGAGTCGTGTTCAGTTGGGCCTTTTGGCATTTTGCCTGTCCACCCTCCTCTGTGTGGACCTGACCTGCACCGTCTTCCCTCCAGAGCCTGCCCTGCCTGTCCTTCCTCTCCCGTCACCACAGGGAACCTGGTCTGGGCGCCCGTGTTACACCACTGTGTGACTTGGGGACCCTAGCATCACCCCGGAACCTTGCCTCTGCCTGTCTGACAGGAGCACCATGCTCCCGGCTCCGGGGAGGGTGGGGACACGGCGCCTGCGGCGATGCTTCCCCACCGGGTGTGCATTGACTTGTTCTTTCATTTTCACTTGCCCGAGCTCTGACAGAGTGTCCTGCTACAGCCCCCCCCCGGGCAGCTGCGTGGAACAGACCTGGGTCTGCTTGGGCGTGTGCCCTCTGAAACAGTGTGCGTGACCTGTTGGGATTCCAGGTGCTGTCCAGGGATGCTCATGTTTGGCTCTGCAACCTGGGGCAGCACCCAGGAGTAATGATGGGCTACTGGGGGGCATGTGCTGAGCACGGGAGGAAGGTGAACTTGCAGCTGACTGCGGTGGACTTGGGTGCATGCGGAACAGAGACTTCCCGCAAGCAGACCCTGACAATTTTGTGATGAATTTTTGGGAACTCCCAAAGGGTGGGGGACTCTTAAGGAGGTGAAACTGCCCTGCCAAGTCCTCCTCGGAACACTCTCCCCGCGTGGCACCTTCACCTGTGACCTTCTGTCCTCCCGCCCAGCAGCCGTGGCTGCCGCACAGCAGGGCTGGCTTGTGATAGGCAGCCCCCGGTGCGCATGGGCTGTGTGCACGTGCATCTGCATGTGTGTCCAAGTGCTTACAGGTGCACGCTATTTGTGTGAGTGCATGTGTGTGATGTGTGTGTAAGACACACCCACCACATACCCCGGTTTGCCTCTACTGCCTCTGGGGAGCTCTGAAAGGGGCTACATGGGTGCAGGGAGACACACACTAGATGCTGCATTCCTAGCACCCCTCCTGCCCCTCCCCATAGTGAGTGGTGAGAGGGGAGCAGCCTGGATCCCTCTGGAGCCCCCTCTGGCGAGCCCCCTCTGGCGAGCCCCCTCTGGCGAGCCCCCTCTGGTGAGCCCCCTCTGGAGAGCTGTGGGATCGCATGCACATCCCTCCCCTGCCTGCCTCTAGATCTCGTGGTGGGTTTGGTGGGAGTGGGCGGTTGGCATCTTGTCATTTTTGTGACAGAGGTGAGTTGTTTGAAGTGAAGGGCTGGGGGCTGGGTGGGGTGATCACCACCAACGACAGAACTAGTTATGTTTGTTGTTTATTCCAGGAAGAACCCAAGGTGGTTGATAAAAGTATCAGAAGAGGGTGACTGCAGCCAGAGTCCTGCTTTGTGACCTGTCAGTAGTGACTTGGCTTCCTCGAGTGCACGTGGAAGCCTGTGGTCAGCCCTGTGGCTGCTGGCCTGTGGAGTGCAGCACAGTGTTCATCGTGGGGCACGGCACAGTGTTCATCGTGGGGTGCACAAGTCTTTTCCCCAGGCGCTCCCAGCTGGAGGCCAGCATCAGGGCCCTGTGGAGACCCCACCCAGGCAGCAGTGAACCTCCAGAGCATCGGGAGGTGCAGGGCCTTCTGGCACTCGGCCTCCTGGGGCAGTTGAGCTGGACCCTGGGTGGTCGGCTCGGTCAGCGGCTGTGACTAGCTGGTCCTGCAGATGGCAGGTGCACTTGGGCAGATGCAGGGATGTGGGCAGTCAAGGGTAAGCCTGGGGACGCCAGGTGGGCATGCTTGGGAGACTGTTGAGTCTCTAAGAGGGGGCTCTGGGGCTTTAGTTCGAGTGAATGAGGACCTGGGGAGGGTTGTTGAGTGGGAGTTTGAGACATGAATTCTTAGATTTGCTGTGTGATAGTCACTCCAGAATTTTGTGACTGAAAACAGGCATGTAGTATCTTAGGCAGATTCTGGGAGGTCCTGGCTCAGGGTCTCACATGAGAGTCCAGTCAGGCTGTCGTAGGGGCTGCCTCCTTGAAAGTGTGAGGGGAGGCAGGAGGGACTTCTACAATGGTGCCCTCGCCTGGCTCTTGGCGGGGGCCTCAGCCCCTCATTGTGTGGCTCCTCCCTGGTGCTGCTTGCGTGTCCTCCCCCCATGGCGGCCTGCTTCCCCAGGGAACCTCCTCAGAGGGAGCAAGGAGGACGCCGCTCCGCTTGTCATGACCTTGTCTTGGTCACTTGTCATACTCTGTTTGTTGGAAGCGAGTCGCTCAGCAAGCCGCCCTCAGGAGGTGGGTGCTGGGCTGCGACTCCAGAAGGAGGTGAGGCGGCGCTTGTGGGCACCTTGGAAGCTGCTGCAGTTGGTGTCCTGCTGTGCGGGGTGAGGGAAAGTAGGGGACACATTTGCTGTTTAAAGCATGGGAGTGAGAGACTGGCGGGACGGGGATCTGGGGCCGTGCTGGTGCTGGGGTGGGGCTCCGGGTTATGCAGACTGCTGTGAGGTGGGGGCAGTGGCCTGGTCGCCCCTCTGCAGGTGATTACCAGCTCAGCTTCCCTTTTGGTCCTCAGGAAGCAGGGCCTTATCACGGGTCTCATGCTGGTGAGCGGGTGCTAGGAGGAGCCTCCTGGGGCAGCCACACCCCCTCACACTTCTAGAGCAAGAAGCCAGACACCAGGGCAGTGGGACAGAGAGGACAAGGGGACAGCCAAGGGCCGACTTTCAGGTTCTTAGCTGGGACTCTGGGTGCGGTGGGGCATGGACGGGACTTGGGATCCGGGCACTGTTGTCACTGGGTGGAGCCAGGGAGCACTCAGTTGCTGGGGCAGTGGCACTAAGGGAAAAAGCACTTTTGGGGTGACCCCATGGTGCCCTGGAATTTGATTTGACCTTAGACTGCTGTGGCCTTGGATGCAAATACCAAGCCCTTGCCCTGAAGGGAAGTTTGTTCTGGAGTGCCTCCTGGAAGTGAGCCACTGGGGGCTGAGGGGACTGTGGTCAGGTTGGACATGCTGGGCTGAGGGGCTGGCATCTTGAAGGCGCTAAGCAAACTCCACAGGGGAAGGTGACAGGCCACCCATCCGGTGAGGAGGTGGTGGCGCCTGGTGGAGAGACACTCTCCCTCCTGCCTGTTTCTTCGTCTGCAGTCCACGTGAAACTAGATCCCGGCTGTCGCAAGCGCAGTGCCTCTCGCCTCTGGTCATTGTCCCAACAGGGCGCTAGGGCACCAGGGCACCGTCTGCCTTCATATGGCAAGCACCTTTCCTCTGGGCCTCAGTTTCCTCTCATGCAGCGCAGATGATGGAGTGATGGAGGTGAAGCCTGGGAGGAGCTTGGCAGGGTAGCTGCCCCCTGGACCAAGCTACTCCAGCCGGGAGCAGACCGCTCTGACTAGGACTTTGCGCTCTGGGGACAAGTTTGTGGGTCTTGGTCCTCACCCTTGACCTCACTGGCCCACCCTTAACGTCCACGTCCGGTCTTACAGGCACAGGAGAGAGCGGGAAGAGCACGTTCATCAAGCAGATGCGCATCATCCACGGGGCGGGCTACTCGGAAGATGACAAGCGGGGTTTCACCAAGCTGGTGTACCAGAACATCTTCACCGCCATGCAGGCCATGATCCGGGCCATGGAGACCCTGAAGATCCTGTACAAGTACGAGCAGAACAAGGTGAGGTGGCTGTGGGCCTGTAGCCGGAGCTCCTGGGCTCTCGGGTGCGGGCGTGGGCAGGCACCACCCTGGGGCTATTCCCTCTAATGTCCCCCTCCCTGCCAGGGGCCTGCCTTCTGGGAGGCCACTGGCCTATTATGGGGTGTCCTCAGTGAGCCCAGACTTCCCTTCAGGTTGCTGTGAGCCACCCTTTCTACATCACGGTTGCTGCCTTAGGCATAGGTGGTACCAACTCCTGTTCTGGCCCTTCTGTGACCCAGTGACCCCGTGGGGAAGGTTATTCCTCCCATTTTCTTTAGTGACAGCTTTATTGAGGTAAAATTCAGTTTCCATACAACTCTCCCATTTCGTGTATAAACCATTGTTTTTTAACATTTTTACAGAGTTGTGTAAACATCACCTCTGTCTGATTGCAAAACATTGCATTACCTCAAAAAGCAGCCTCGTCTCCAGTCCACCCTAGTTCTCCCCTAGTCTCCCCTAGTCCCTGGTAACCATGAACCCACTCCCTGGCTCTGGCTGGGCCTGTCCTGGACATTTCTTGTCAGTGGCCTCACACCGCATGGCCTCGCGTGTCTGGCTTCTCTCCCTGAGCAGTGTGTGTTCAAGGTCCCTCCTGAGGTAGCGCGTGTTGGAGCTGCCCCCCTTGTGTCCGGGTGATGGTCCGTGTGTGTGGGGACTCACTGTGTGTATCTGTTCATCACTGATGGGTATTTGGGTGTTTAGACCTTTGGCCACTGGGAGTTGTGCTGTGACATGCAGTGTGGGCATGTCTCTGGTGTGGCGTGGGCTGTGCTGCCGTGTGCTGGGTCTAATCTCTCGAGGGCTAACTAACGGGCTCCCCTCGTGCTCCTCCCACCAGCTGTGTGAGGTGCGGGGTGCTCTTGCTGGTGGCCTCCTCTGTTTTCAGGGGCCTGTCGTTCAACCCCAGAGGTTTGCCCAGGGCTAACATGTGTCATGGGAGTCCATGTTTGTCCAAAGATGGTTTATATTAATTCAGTTGCTTTAAGGCCAACCGCCTAGATTTCTGCTGGATCTCAGATGGGTGTCTCCCTCTCTTCACCATGATCACAGTACAGTGGTCAGGAACCCCTGGGGCCCGCATCGGCTTGGGGGCTCTGCCATCCTGGTTGTTGGGCCACAGGCCTGTGTGAGTCTCTTGCCTCTTGGGTCTCAGTTTGTAGCACCCTTTCCCGAGGAGGCCTCTGGGATACATGTTTGCATTTGGGACAGATTACCATCAGTTCTAGAACCGAGGGTCAGCCTGTTGTTGTAAAAAGAGTTTTATTTTCACACCCATTCATTTACACACTGTCCTTGGTGACCTTTGCCACATACAGGGTCAGCATGGCAACAAAGTTGGAAATACTACTTTCTGGCTTTTACAGGAGGCCAGTGTGCCCTGATCTACAAGTACCCAGCCCGTGGGCTTTTCTGGGCAGGCTCTGCTTTTTCAGGCCCAGGTTGAGCGGCCAGAGAGCGTGGCTTAAATGGTCAGGCAGGGACCAGCCTGGAGGCCCAGGAGAGCCTGCTGGGTTGTGTGGAGACTCTACTGTGGTATGTCTCCACCCCAGTCCCTCAGCAGAATGTGGCTGGTGGTGTCAGCCAGACCACCCTTGAAGGCAGGATGTGGAGCATGGAGCTGCCTGGGGAAGTGGGCCATCTCCAAGAATCCCCTGCCCTGCATGTTGTGTGCGCGTGCGTGCCTGTGTGCACAGGTGTGTGTGTGTGCAATAGCATGTGTCTCCAATGTGCGCGTGCGTGTGCATGTGTGTGCGTGCGTCTCTGAAGCAGCATTTCGTGTGCGTGCTTCTGGAGGAGGAGGGCCCCGAACCCTGTCACCGAGGGCTATTTATGGGGATTTTGTCACTCAGGCTCAGATGGTTACATCCTCAATACTGGGGAGTAGTCCCACCTCCAGTCCCTGTCTCCTCCTAGGCTTCCTCAGGCCGCCAGCACCCCTGCCTCACCCCAGTCATCTCATCCACATACGGAAGATGCTGTCCCCATGACTCTGGGGCTCCAGAGGTTTTCAGATCTCTGGGTCAGGACGTGCTTGGACGACACCACAGCAGTTCTGCTCCCCTCCTGCCTGTGCGCTAGGAGCAGGGGCCGAGGCTGCCGGGAGTACAGCGAGGTGGCCATGGCAGTGTTTGTTTAGAAGCTGAAGGCCCTTTTTTGGGTCTTTCCTTGGTCACTTTTAAAGAGTGTAGTTGTTTGCCATTGCTTTCAGCTCCCCTTCTCGCCCCCCGCCACACCTTCAAGAGTAAACCACAGCCAGTTTTCTCACTGGGCTCGCCCAAGCTGGGCTCAGGGAGGCAGGCCGCTCTGCTTGGAGGGGCCCGCACACTGGCTCAGTTTTGCCCCAGGACTTTTGCATGGAGGTGGGTTCCCACTGGCGGCCTCGCTGCTCTCTCCAAATCTGGAGGCTAAGGTTCCCACTCCAGCGAGGGAATGCTGAGTACCGGGCTGCTCCCCTCACGTAGGCCAACGCGCTCCTGATCCGGGAGGTAGATGTGGAGAAGGTGACGACGTTCGAGCACCGGTATGTCAACGCCATCAAGACCCTGTGGAATGACCCGGGCATCCAGGAGTGTTACGACCGGCGCCGCGAGTATCAGCTCTCGGACTCCGCCAAGTAGTGAGTGGGCTTGGGGTCACCTGGACACCCAAGGGCCCCTTGGCATCTGGGAGGGCTCCTGTGACATCAGATCAAGAGGGAAACGGGGGAAGGATGGCTGGGGCATTACCCTTTAGGAATGTTGGCTCTTTAACATCGCAGATGCACACAGCCGGGGACAGTGGGTGTGTTCTGGGGCTTTCTGTATTATCTAAAGTGGTGGGTTTATTTGCCCCACCAGCTGATCATCCTGCGCCAGCACCCTTGTCCTGCAGGCAGCTGTCCTAGGGCAGCACCTCAGGAAGGCCCTCCGAGCCCGTCTTCAGCTTGCCAGTCTCCCCTGGGCTGTGTCTTTCTTCTGCCCTGGCTAGCGAGGCTCCTGTGGGGCCTTTCTGGCTGGAGGGTGATGGGCGGTGGCCAGGAGTTCCTGCCCCTGCCCCCTTGCAGCTGCCTCAGAAGCTGCATCCCGTCCTCTTGCAGCTACCTGACCGACGTGGACCGAATCGCTACCATCGGCTACTTGCCCACCCAGCAGGATGTGCTGCGGGTCCGTGTGCCCACCACGGGCATCATCGAGTACCCCTTTGACCTGGAAAACATCATCTTCAGGTACCCATGCCCTGCATTTCTGGGCTCCTTGGGGCGCCGCTCGTCCCTTTGACCCTGAGTGTCCATTGGGTAGGGCATCAAAAGGTTTGGTGGGCCCCGGTCTTGCCTTCAGGGATCTTCTGACCTGGAGATAGGGTTTATAAATAATTAACTGTCTGGGTTTTAGAATGAGCCATTCCCCTGTGGCGATGTAGCCGTGACAGGGTGTGGCCACTGTGGGCCTCAGGAGCGATGCGGCGGTGGTTCTGGGAGCGGGAGATGGACTTGTGCTCTGCCAGGAGATGGCGGTTCCTTGGCCTCTGCAGCTCTGGGGCCCACTGTGACTCGGCAGCACAGAGTTCTCTTGGGCCCTGTCCTTGGCACATGACTGGAATAGATTTGGTGCCGTTCCTGAGGACACAGGCCCACACTCAGCCAAACCACAGCTTGTCCAGAGCTGCTAAGTGGCAAGGCCGGCGTGAGTCTCCGGGAGTGGCCATTGCAGATGACCAGGGAGGGGTGACTCCAGCTGCGGAAAGGGGTGTCCTCTCCCAGCTCTGGAGCAGAAGGCCAAGGTCACAGTGCCAGTAGGGCTTGTCCTCCAGGGAGATCTGTCCCACACTTGGTCCGGATTCTGTGTGGCCACAGTCCTTGGTGTCCCCTGGGCTTGTACATGCGTCATCCCAGTCTCTGCCTCTGAGCAAGTGACTTCTGTGTCCGAGTGTCCCTCTCTGGCCAGCACATTGGGCATTGGATTTAGGTCCACCCTGCTCTGGTGTGACCTCATCTCAGTCACATCTGCAAAGACCCTCTCTCCAGGTCAGATTGTGCTCCTGGCTCCGGGTAGACTGGATTTGGGTGGACACTTTTCAGCCCCTGTATCTCAGTCCGCTTGTCCAGGTACTCTCTGAACACGGGCGGAGGCGCTGACTCGGCGCTCCTTGCAGCCCCCAGCTGGAGCTCAGATGGACCGAATTGAGTGTGGTTGCCCCACTCTGTGAGGGGATGAGCCTGGTCCCGGTGGGGGATGCTATGGGAGGCCTGGCTCCCGCCCAGCTGCTCCAGGAGACGTCCTGTTCCAGATGTATTCTGCCAGTGTCCCTAGGCTGGCTGCCGCTGGCACCTGAACACAGACCCCGGCCTGTCTCCACCTGCGGTCCCTCAGTCGCCTTGGCGCATGTGCCGTCCCCCAGCCCACAGGGTCGCCTCTGTGGGATCTGGCCTGCCATGCCCAGCGCAGCCTGTGTCTCAGCCACCCTGTGGCGGGGCCTCAGGGGGCCAGCCTAGGGACCAAGTGGTGTCAGGAGGCCTCCCTTCCTCCTTCATCACATTTTTTTTAAAATGGTGTTTGCCCTCATTACAGAAAACATAGGGAATTCCAAGCACAAGAAGAAACCCTGTAACTAGTGGCTGATCCTGTCACTCAGGCGTTGTCTTAGTTGTCTTTTCAGTCTCGCGCCCCCACCCCTTTGGTCTGTTGCTGTTCCTTTGGTGCCTGCGTCGCTCGCTGGCTAGAAACCTTTGCAGCTGCTGCTCTCACCTGTGCCAGGGCAGTGCTTTGCTCTCTGGCATGGCTGGAGGGCATCTGCCCGCCTGCTTGTCTCGCACCCTGTGGGGGTGAGGGAGCTGGGTCCTCTAAGGCATGGTTGGGCTCCCTCTCAGTCTGTGGGTTCTCCCTGTCAGCCCCACCCTTGGAGCCTTGTTACTGACTTCTCTGTCAGAGCGGATAGTGGCCACCCGCATTGCACACCGCGGGGAGATTTCCTCCTGCCCTGGCAGACACGGGCTCCGCTGGCTCTAACGGACGTGGGGGCTCTCAGTGAAATGGGTATTGTTGGCTTCTCGAGCTCTTTAACAGTGTTGGGGGGCTCTCAGGACTGTATTTGTATTGGGGGACTTGGGTCTTTGGAAGAGATTGGGGGACTCAGAACTCTGACAGATACTGGGATCCTTGTGGCTCTAACAGGTTTTGGGGAACTCTTGTGATTCTAATGGTATTGCGTGGCTTTAGGCTCTGACAGATACTGGGGCCGTGGCCTTGGCAGAGATTGGCTGTGTCTTTGGAGGTGGAAGGGCTTCATTGGAGGGCCCCTTTGCTGAACCTGTGCACCCCTGTTCCTTCAGGATGGTGGACGTGGGTGGGCAGAGGTCAGAGCGGAGGAAATGGATCCACTGCTTTGAGAACGTGACCTCCATCATGTTCCTTGTGGCCCTCAGTGAGTACGACCAGGTCCTGGTGGAGTCAGACAATGAGGTGAGGCCTCCCCCAGGTATGGCTCCAGGGAGCGTGGGGGCGGGGGTGCCGTGGGCTCCCGATCTGAACCTAGAGTCCTCCCCCCCACAGAACCGCATGGAGGAGAGCAAGGCCCTCTTCCGGACCATCATCACCTACCCCTGGTTCCAGAACTCCTCTGTCATCCTCTTCCTCAATAAGAAGGACTTGCTGGAGGACAAAATCCTCTACTCCCACCTGGTGGACTACTTTCCTGAGTTTGATGGTGAGCACCCCCCACCACTGCCCTGACTCCCACTTGACTGCCTCTCCTGGCCCGGTCAGGGCTTCCACCCGGACTCTTGGCCCAGCCACAGGAAGGAGCGAGGGGTTGGGAAGCCAAGAACCCAGGGCACCTTCCTGACCCTGGACTGGCCTGAGCTCCCGACAGAACTGTGGGGCAGCTCAGCTCAAACGAGCTGAGCTTGTTTGTCACAGCCCCCAGCTCCCCCAGTGGGCACAGGCCCCAAGGGTACTTCCGGCTGTCCTCAGGGCCCAGTACTCATGCTGGATGCCTGCACTGTCCAGGCTGGTCCGAGGAATGGGCATGAATGGGTGGGAGTGCCCCCTGTAGCAGGAGTGACCAGTGGCCAGCCCGCCTGTGGGTCGGGACTTCTGGAGGGGGTGAGTGTGTGTGTGCTTGTGCAGGTGCGGGCAGGCCCGTGGAGGGATGTGTGCCTATTGGGTATGGGTGTGTTTGGGGGGACATGTGCAAGAAGGGACGTGTGCCAAGAAGGAAGGTGGGCCTGGGTTTGGAGGGGTTTGGAGCCTCCAACATGAGCAGCATCTGTAGTCCCGGTGCATCCCTGGTGCGGTGGGCCGTGGCGTCTGGTGGGTGGAAATGGGGTGAGGGGGCGGGTGACCCCAGGTGGCTGCTGTCGTCAGCGAGCGGCTGCGGAGCACCCCAGGCTGCGCCGCCTGAGCCGGTCCCGGGCTGTCACTGCAGGAGCCGGCGGAGGAGCCTGTAGAGCCGGGTCCCGGCGAGGCTCCTCACCCCTGCCCCTCCCCAGGGCCCCAGCGGGATGCCCAGGCAGCGAGGGAGTTCATCCTGAAGATGTTCGTGGACCTGAACCCCGACAGCGACAAAATCATCTACTCCCACTTCACCTGCGCCACCGACACGGAGAACATCCGGTTCGTGTTCGCGGCCGTCAAGGACACCATCCTGCAGCTCAACCTGAAGGAGTACAATCTGGTTTGACGAGGCCCCGCGGGGACGGGGAGCAGAGATCCACCCTGGGGCGCCCCTCCTTCAGCGGCGCGGCGGCGGGTCTGCCTGGTGGCCTGCGGTCACCCGCAAGGCGTCGCTTTTTCCTGCCCTCGGCCGCGGCCCCTGCTCCACGACCAGGGATGCCATCTTTCTCTCTGCACTTTGCCCCGCCCGCCTTCTGTCCCTGGCTCAGGCCACCTTTTTTCTGGCCTTGACTTGTGGCTCGCTTTTTTCTACAAAAAAAAAAAAGGAAAAAAAAAGGAAAAAGAAACAAGGGGAGAGCAGACACCGCGCCCCACGCCGCCTGCCCGCGCCGGTCCCAGGCCTCCCTGCCCGCGTCGCCGCCCGGACACACAGATCGCCCCCTCCTCGTCGCGGAGGCGTGGGGAGGTGGAGTTGTGACTTTTTCTCCCCCCCTTTTTTTTAAATTATTGATATCCTCACGCCTTGCCCTCTGTTTTTGCTCACTGGACTCCAAGATGTGGGGGTGGGTGGCGCCCCCTGTTGCCCGCCCTGGAAGTGCCTAACCTTTTTTTTGTTTGTTTGTTTTTAATTTTTTTTTTTTTTTTTTGGAAAAAAAAAATCAAGAAACAAAGTATCCCTGGTGCCCAGAGGCCAAATCCCTGTCTCCAGCCTGGGTGGGAGGGTCTGTTCTAGATCTCATGGGAGCCCTTGGGGCTCGGGCTTCTCTGGGCTGTCTCTAAACCAGTCTAGCCACCCCTGAGTGTTCTGGGGCTCCCAAGGTCTTATCCCCAACACCTCCCACCCAAAGGCTGCCATCCAGGCACAGCCGAGGGCCATGTGCCCACCCGCCCAGATCAGAGAGTACCCAGCGGGGAGGCCAGGATGGCGGCTGGAGGGATGGTCCCCCCCTGTGATCCCAAGGACAGAGGCCCGCTTGGACCGGGAGCCACTTGCTCTGACAGTGAGGGCGCATGGGGACTTTTTCAGAATATTCTCAGGTCTGTCCCCGAGAGGCGGAGAGAGGCCGGGGGAGGTGCTGGTGGCTCAGCACCTAGCTCCCGCGGGGCTCTGTGCGGCGCTGGCTCCATCTCTCTCGAGCCATTGCCACGAGCTGCTGCCCCGAAGGAGCGGGCAGCCTGCGCGCTCCCAGCGTCTCGGGGCAGCGAGGTCCCCGCCAGGCAGCCTCTGGGTCTGGCCACGGCCATGGCCACGCACTGAGCCGGAGCCCGGGGGCCCCTGGCCCAGCCGTCCTCTCCCAGAGGTTCTCTGAGGGTGGAAACGGGGAGCTGGGGAGGGTGGGGGGCTTTCCAACACCACAGTGTGACTCTACAGACAACACTACAGTATGAATGACACTACAGTGTTCGTGTTGTGACTTGTGGGTTTTGTTTTTTGCACAAGTAACGAGAATGGACTGCCAGCGATGCCTTGGCCCCAGCCCCCTCCCTCGGGACCCGCCGCAGGAGCTGTCCGAATGGCTGCTGCTCTTGGGTCTGTCGACAAGTGTAAAAGAACAATGGAAAAATCTACCCAAATGGCCAGTGTGTGCCTGGGCCCCCCACTTCCTCTGCGGCCTCCCTGGGGCTTTCCTGGCGGGCGGGGTGGGCCTGCTGGTTCCCTGAGGAGACGGCCTGGCGGGCTGCTCTGGACGAGGGGCCACTACATTCCTGATCAGGCCCGGCCGGGGGCCCAGCACCCTCGCCGGTTGGCGGCTCTCCCAGGAGCCCCTCTGTGCCAAGTGCTGCGTGTGCGGAACCTGATGTGCACCCTCCCTGGGGCGGGGGTGCTCCTGGTGGGGGGCCCTCCCCGGGGCCTCGGGGCCCTCTCCATGGCTAGGCCCCAGTCACTCTAGAGGACCGGACTTGGGCTCTGGAGGCGGAGGTGGCGTGAGCTCCTGAGGGGACCCACAGTATTTACTTCCCAGAGAGGGCAGTGCCAAGCATTCCAGAGCTGAAGCCTGGCCCTTCTGGAACCCCGCGCAGCTGGGACCCACTCTCCAGGAGGATCCAGACCAGTTCTGTGCGATGCCGGCTGGGTGGGAGTTCCGGGGCCTGTGCCTCCCCGCACGGGAGGTTGGCTTTCGCCTGGATGACCTTCATCTCCGCGGACGCTTTCTCGAATGGAGTGCCACCTCCCATCGCTCCACTGTGCCAGCCCTCAGCAGAATCCGAGTCCTGCCGGGGGAGCCCCATCTCCCCAGAGACGTCCTAGTGCCAATGCCCCCTAGTGGCGGTGCAGGGAGCGTGCCGGCAGCGGGGGACGTGGTCCGGGTATTCTTGTATATTATTACACAGTCCTGATTTCAGACGATTTAAACAGCTATTTAAAAAATATTATATAAAAATGACGTTTTTAACTTTTTGTCATGGGAAATGCATGTACTGTGAGTGCAGGTGGGTGGGAGCGCAGACTGCTCGGCGTGTCGGGGCCCTGACCCCTTAATCCAGAGAGTTGATGAAAACCGACTTTTAATATCTTCTGAAATGAATTGTTTTAAATTGGAATAAATTTTGTTCCTAAATGCCCTGGCCCCTCTGGCTTGTTTCCTCTGCTGGCTCCGGTGGGGGGGGCGGGGGGTGCATGGAAAGGGACCTGAAAGTGTCACCTGGACCCTGTACTGTTAGCGACCCCTGGCACCTTCAAGCTGTGGTCTGAGCTCGAGGGAGCGATGCCGTGGCTTTCTGGGGTGACCACCTCAGGTGGGGCCACAGCACCGGGGCCCCTGCTCTGTGGTCCTTTTATTTCACCCTTGAGTTCAAGTTCACCCCAGCTGGGCTATCCTGTGGGAGAAGCACCTCATTCGTAGGGGCCGAGGGCTGAGATGGGGGAGGAGCTCGGGTTCTGGGCTCAACATGCTAGTTAATCCCTGGATTGGGGGAAAGGGAGACACTTGGGAAGCCGTTCCCCTCCGGCCCCCCCCCCCCACTTTGTGTAGCAATGTGGGACCAGCCATGTCTGCCATCTCCCTTTGACCGCACTTCTTTTTTTAAGAGTTAATTCTGCAAGAGCATAAAAGTTGCTGTTTCAAGTGCACAGCTCGGGGGCATTAGCACGCACACTGTTGTGCAGCCGCCGCATTCCGCCCCCCCCCCCCACCCTCCAGCTCCAGAACTTTCTCATCTTTCCTGATAACTGTTAACATTGACCACAAACGCCCCGCCCCCACCCTAGCCCCCTGGCACCCACTGTCCTGCTGTGACTCCTCCAGTGGGGTTTTGACTCCCGGGGCCCTCCCGTGAACGGAGTCCCGCAGCAGTGTCCTTGGGTCCGCTTATTCTCCTGAGTATCGTGTCCCAGGGCCCACCCACCTTGCAGCTGGGTCTGAATGGCCTTTTTAAGGCTGAATGATGCTCCGCTGTGTGGATGGATCCCTTGGTGTATCCATTCGCCTGGGGCTGGAGACGTTGCGTCCAGCGTAGAGCTACTGTGAGTCACGCTGCTGTGACGGGCCTGTCTCTAAGACCCTGCTCTCAGTTCTCTTGGGTCGGTACCCAGAGTGGAATTGCCGCCTCTTATCTAATTTTTTGAGGAGACACCGTCCTGTTTCCGCAGCGATTGTTCCATTTCACGATCCCAGCAGTGCGCAGGGTCCCAGTTTCTCCCCATTCTCTTCCAGTTTTATTTACTCCCGTCAGTGGCATGTGCCTTGGCACGGGGTGAGGCAGGTGCTGCTGTAGACCACCGTGCAGCCTCCCAAGAAAAGAGAACATGGAAGCAGGATGGGGCGTGAGAGTGGCCTTTTCAAACAGGCTGTTCAGGAAAGTCCTTTCTGAGCAGTGACACACAAATGGGATCCTGGGAGACCAGAGGGCGAGGGGGCATCCTGTGGCTCAAAGGTAGGGTTTCCCAGGCAGAGGGCACAGCCCTGTGGAGGCCGTGCCTGATGCAGAGGAGGAACAGCCAGAGGCTCATGGCTGGAGCAGACAGACGGAGGGGGAGGAAGGGCAAGTAGATCGTGCTGGGCTGTGTGAGTCCTGGGAAGACTTAGGCTTGTGCCCCAGGGGCTGGTAGCCCTAGGGGCTGTGGGCAGAGGAGCTAGCAGGACCTGACTCAGGTGCACAGGCACCTTTGGTGGCCACTGCCGGGCGGACAAGCAGGGACCTGGGTGCCGGTGAGCGCGCTGGTCCAGAGGAGCAAGGATGGCGTAGATGCTGTGGCAGAAGCCAGGACCAGGATGGATGCGACTGCACAGTCCAGGCGCTGAGAATGGCAGTGGGCCCCCGGCAGAAGCAGAGGTGGGGATGGGCGTCCGGAGGGAGTGGGGTGCCTGGAGGAAGCCGGGCAGGCATCGCGGGCGCACATGCTGTCATGCCACCCAGTTCCAGCAGGTGTCGCTAGTTGCTGTTCTCCGACCTTCCTGCCTTTAAGGCTTTAAGGCACATCCACGGGCGTGGGCCTCCGCTCATCTTTGCTTTAGAAGGGAGACCTGGGGATCTCCTTGGGGGCACAAGGGGTTAAATCTCAGCACTGTGAAGCTATCTGCAGCCACTGCAGCAAGCCAGGGAGCAACCCACATGGCGCAGCAGACCTCTCCTGTCTCGCTGGCTGCTCCCCTCAGCAGTGTATTTCAGTAGATCTTCCTGTTCTGCTCCCCACTCTGTCTCTGGTGAATCTTCTCACCCCCAACACCCACACCTCTGGCCTGCACCCCAGTGTGCATAAATAAATGAATCTTTAATATATATGTATATATAAAAATAAGTAAATTTAGCAAGGTTGCAAAATACAAGAGCAGTGTATAAATACAAGAACAGTGTATATATATGTGTGTGTGTGTGTGTGTATACATATATTAGGGCCCATGAGCACTTGCGGGGTAACTGGGCACCATCTGAAGCTGTCTAGCCTGGCTGGTGCACAATGAAACTCCAAGACCTCTTGTTACAAAAGTAAGTGAATTTCAAGACGAACAGCCTTCCCCAGCTCATTAGTTGACCCTGCTTGCTGAGTGTGGACACCTAGGTTGTTTCCACTCTTTGTCAATTGTGAATATTGCTGCTGTGAACACGGGTGTGCAAGTTCCACTTTGAATCTTTGCTCTCTAGTCTTTTGTTTGGGTATATACCACATAGAAAATCCTAAGGAATCTCCAAAAACAGTACTTGGAAATTAGTAAATTTAGCAAGGTTGCAAAATACAAGATCAGTGTATAAAAATCAAACATGTTTCCATACAGTAGTAATCAATCTGAAACTAAAATTTAAAAAACAGTACCATTTATAATTTTTTTAAAAATCAAAGCACAGTCAGAGAAAATATTTGTAAACCACGTATCTAAAAAAGAGCTTGTATCCAGAATATATAAAGAATTATTAACATATAATGTGGTCATGTGTCTCTTAATACAGGGATACATTTTGAGAGGTGTGTCATTAGATGATTTCATTATTGTGTGAACATCACGAATAGTAATTGCACAAATCTAGATGGTATAATCTACCATCGAGACTGTACGGGTAGAATCTATTGGGACAATCATTGTGTAGTAGGTCCATCGTTGATGAAAATGTTGTTATGCAGTGCATGACTGTAATAAGAACCCACTTAAAGAAATGGCAAGATATTTGAATAGACAGTTCACCAAAGAAGATACACGGATGGCACTTGGAAAGATAGCCAACATCATTATTTGATCAGGGGATTTCAGATTAAATCCATGAAAAGGGCCTCCCTGGTGGCGCAAGGGGTTAAGATGCAATGTATGAAGCTATCCGCAGCCACTGCAGCACGAGTTTGATTCCCGGCCAGGGAGCAACACACATGGTGTGCAGACCTCTCCTGCCGCCCGCTGCTCCCCTCAGCAGTGTGCTTCGGTCCTTCTGCCTGCTCTGCTCCCCGCTCTGGCTCTGGTGAATTCTCTCACCCTCCCGCGCTTCTGACTGTACCCAGTGCTTGTATAAATAAATAAAAAAATAAATCTTTAAAAAAAAAACAAAGAAATGAACAACACTGTTCATGTCAAACCTGAACATCTACGTTATAGCAGCACTATTCATGATCACTCCAACTGGAAACAACCTATAGGTAAGGGGATAGAAGATGACCTGTCTACACAATGGAAAAGTATTCGGCAGCGGAAAAGGATGGGCTCCCTGCTGCAGAGATGGAAACCAAATGTTAAGTGAGAGAAGCCGGTCTCAAGGGCTGCATAAGGTATAATCCCTCTTATACAACATCCTCAAGAACATCAAAAAAAAAAAAACCCCATAACATCTGTGACATAGTGATTTATAGGAACTATATAAATGTGGTCATACAGATGACCGAACTATGTATCTTATAAATTATTTTATTTATTTATTTATTTATTTATACAAGCACTGGGAACAGTCAGTAGCGTGGGAGGGTGAGAGAATTCACCAGAGCCGGCAGGAGGGGTCTGTGCGCCATGCGGGACCCTCCTCCTGGGTTGGGGAGCAGCCGGGGATCGAACCGGCGCTGCAGAGGCTGCAGGCAGACCCGCAACCCAGTGCTCAACCGCTGCGTCACCGGGGAGGCCCCCATATCTTATAATTTTTTTTCTTCTTTCACAGCTCCTGGCTCATAGCTCCTCAACGCCTTGGGATTTCCTGTGCTGAGAGTGATAAAGGCATCTCTTTTATGTCAATGAGGAAAGCACCTAAGGGTGGGAGCTGGTGGCCAGGGGAGCCTGCCATCTGATTAGAGGGTTGAAAGTTCCAGACCCACCTCAAACCTCCGGGGAGGGGAGAGGAGCTGGAGGCTGGGTTCATGGCTAATGGTCAATTAGTTAATCAATCATACCAATGTGATGAAGCCATCACGAAAACCCAGAGACAGGGACTTAAGAGAGCTTGCGGGTCGGTGGGCGTGTGGCGATTGGGGGGAACGGTGTGCCTGCAGAGGGCACGGAAGCCCTGCGCCCTTTCCCCACCCCTGCCCCATGCGCTCTTCCATCTGGCCGGTCCCAGGTTATAGCCTTTGTGAAAACCAGCGACCTCGCGTCTAAACGGGTTTCCTCATTTCTGTTTGCAAATTAATCCAACCTGAAGGAGAGGCATGGAAGGAAATCTCTGATTTGTACCCAGCTGGTCAGGAGTCCAGGTGAGGACCTGACGCGGAGGGCAGTCTTGGGGGATGAGCCCTTTATCTGTGGAATCTTTTTTTTTTTTAAAGATTTATTTATTTGTTTATACAAGCACTGGGTACAGTCAGAAGCCCGAAGGGTGAGAGAATTCACCAGAGCCAGAGCGGGGAGCAGAGCAGGCAGACTGACAAAGTACACTGCTGAGGGGGGGAAGTGGGCACAGCAGGAGAGGTCTGCGCGCCATGTGGGACCCTCGCTGGTGGCCAGGGATCAAACTGGCGCTGCAGAGGCTGCGGGCAGCCTCGCAGCCCAGCGCTCAACCACTGCACCACCGGGGAAGCCCTCTTTTTTTTTTTTTTTAAAGATTTATTTATTGGGCCTCCCAGGTGGTGCAGGAGGTGGAGTGCCACGCTGTGAAGCTGTCCCCAGCCTCTGCAGTTTGAGTTCGATCCCGGCCGGCCAGGGAGAAACCCACATGGCGCAGCAGACCTCTCCTGTCTCGCCCGAGGCTCCCCTCAGCAGTGTCTTCGGTCTGTCTGCCTGTTCTGTTCCCTGCTCTGTCTCTGGTGAATTCTCTCGCCCTCCCGCACCTCTGACCTGTGCCCCAGCTCTTGTATAAATGAATAAATCTTAAAAAAAAAAAGAAATTATAACCAGTAAGGTATAGCTAGCAAAACTATCCTTCAAAAATGGTGAAACTAAAAAAAAAAAAAAAGGTATAACTAAGGTACTTTCTGAACACACACACACACACATGCACAAAAGCTGAAAGAATTCATTACCAGTAGACCCACAATAAAAAAAAAAAAAGATTTATTTATGCACACAAGAACTAGGGTACGGGGTCAGAGGTGAGGGGGGGTAAGAGGATTCACCAGAGATGTAGAAGGGAACAAACTGAAACACACTGCTGAGGGAAGCGGCGGGCGGGACAGGAGAGGTCTGCCGCACCATGTGGGTTGCTCTGTGACTGGTGGGGATCGAACTGGCCCTGCAGAGGCTGCGGACAGCTTCACAGAGCTGCACTCAACTGCCCGCGCCACCAGGGAGGCCCATGTGTGTTATTTTTTTAAAAGTACGCTCACCCCCATGTTCCTGAATGAACTACTACGTGATAAACATTGTACACAGGGCCTGGCACATAGAAGGGAATCGACTTGCCTGTTTGGGGAACTAGAAGGGAGAGTTACTTGGAAGCTATAGGGGTTCAGAGAGGCTGGGGCCCTGAGATTGAGGGGTGAAGGGCTCTGGGGCCCTGTTCTGCGGTCAACGGGAGCTACAGAAGTTGTAAGTAGGGCTTGGCGTTCTGGTCCTGTCGTAAAGAGCTGGGGCCCCGGGTCTGATGGGGAGATGGATAACAGGGCACAGGCCCCAGGCGCACGCTGTCCCCCTGGGGTCTATGACTCAGCCCATCTCCTGGTTTTGCCAAGCTGGTTATTTCTATTCTGGAGCAGCATTTCCAGCTCTGCTTGGCCAAGACCATTTCTGCTTTTTTTTTCACCTTCCCCGGAGTGGGAAGTTACCCAGGCCTCTGGCCTTGGGGACCTCCCCTCCTCACTGCCATCCGGTTGGGGCGGTCCTAGTGACCCAGTAGGGGCCCCTATCAAACTTCCCAAGTGCCGTTATGTATCAACAGCAGAGAAAACCGCAAGTTCGCGCCTGGCTTGCTGGCTGTGGGGGTGGGGGAATAATTGCTGCTGTGTGATGACCCTTTTATCACGCACCCTCTCTGAGTCTCGCTGGTGCCACCTATGAGGAGCTCATGTGACCCCAATGACGCATATCTCTGTGTGTGTGTGTGTGTGTGTGTGTTTGTGCACGTGTGCGTGTGTGTGTGTGTGTGTGTGAGAGAGAGAGAGAGAGATAAAATCTGGAACTTTCTAGAACATTCTAGCACCTTCTAGAAACTTGCAAAGTGGGGTTTGCACCCATAAATGGCAGAGATCTGCTGCATTGGAGATAACCGGGGACCTCACCTTTGTGGAAGCAGTGGTTCTCCTTCCAGCATACCAAGGGCCACTAGGTCAGGCAGGGTGGATTTTGGGACGGTGTCCTGGACTAATAGGTCCAGCTCCTCAGGGCCCCTCTGCACAGCCTGCCTGTCCTTGACCCCTGTTTAAAGTCATAACCCCAGCCTCTGACATCTCCCAACCCCCTTCCTGTCTTACTTTGAGTTGATAGTCACCTAACAGACTCAAATAAAAGTTTTAGATGCTTTTCCTTCTCTGTCTCTCTGACTAGATTGTAGGCAGCTAGGTGAGGGGTTTGGGTCCTCTCGGTCACTCCTGTCACACAGTAGGTGTTTAATAAATGTGGGCAAGAAGACAAATGACCCCTCCTCAAAGTTGCCCAGTTAGCCTCCAGGCCCTGGGCCCCACCAGTGAAACCGGGCTGTCTCACCCCAGCCACCAGGGCCCCTGGGCGAGTCATTTCCCGACTGCACCTCGGCAACATCCTCAGTGCGCTGCGGCAGCTTGGCCTGAGCCACTCAGACACCTTCAGGCTGTAGGTGTCACTTGGCCTCGGCTGATTTGAATAAAGATCATCATTAGTGTTATGATAACTTGCTCATAATTGGCTCAGAGGATGGGGGTGGTGGCTGGGGACGGTCTGGGGGTGGTGTCCAAAGAGGATGGGGTCCGCCCCTTTACCAGAATGAGGAAGGAGGGCAGGCAGGCTGCAGGACTGGGCCAAACAGCGGTTGGCTCTCAGCGCCCTGCCCTGCCCTCCCTGGAGGCACCCACCTCACCTCTGCAGACAACCTGTTTGGCCAGGTCCCGGCAGGTCTCGGAGATGGGTGGGGAGCCCTGAGCCTCCACGCCCTCTCTCCTGCTTCTCCTCTCCCCTTCTCCCCCTCCACACTGCCGAGCTGGGTTGCCCAGGTGCCCAAGGCCGGGAAATAAGGCGTCCTTGGGGGGGTGACCCCCAAGGCAGCCCCTTCACGTCCGCTGCCAGAAGCCCCCCTCTGGAGCCGCAGGGCTGGAGGTGCCCTCCCCAGAGGACCCTGGGGCCATGCCACCTGGTGCCCTCTGAGCCTTGGCACCATGGCCCATTCCCTGACCTGGCGCTGCTGCCCCTGGTGCTTGACGGAGGATGAGAAGGCCGCCGCCCGCATCGACCAGGAGATCAACAGGATCCTCATGGAGCAGAAGAAGCGAGACCGCGGGGAGCTAAAGCTGCTGCTGCTGGGTGAGCTGGGAGCAGCCGGATGGGCGACGCACCCTGGGGCGAGGAGAAGGAGGAGGACAGGGCAGGCGGGGGGGGGGGGACCCAGGGGCGCCTCCAGGTGGGAGCCCACTGTGTGGCGAGACACCGAGGCGCAGGGAAGGCGCGAGCAGGGTTCCGGCCCCAGGCCCTCCACCTGGGAGGCTTCTATGGGCACGGAGCTGGCCTGGTTGGGTGGGTCGTGGGGGCCTGGCGCTTGCCTGGCAGGCCCAGCACGCCCTACCAGCTCCTGCGTCATGGGAAGGGAATGATGATCTCAGGTGTGCCGGCCAGCCCTGGCCTTCTCCACCCCTGTCCAGGCTCCCCTGCGAGGATGGTTAGCTCAGCCAGGACTTGGCCCGGGTTTGTTCTGGTTTCTTAGCACAAGTCTTTTGGGCAGAGCATCGCCAACCGGCCCTGATCGAATGATTGACTGATAGATTCATTCATTCATTCATCCGAGATGTTCTGTGTGGCTCCCATGCTTGGTGGGCCTGAGCATGTGCCTCGGGAGAGAAGAGCCACAGAGCGCCGGGGGCAGATGGGGAAACGGAGGCCCGGGGGTTGGTCTGGAGTGGTCCGGAACCATTCTGAGCCTGATGTTGGAGCTGAGCCGCCTGCCCTGGCTGCCCCCCTGTTCCCCAGGACCCCGCTTCCCAAGAGGCAGGGGAGGGCGTTCTCTGCCAGCCCCCGGGAGCAGCCACGTGGCTGTCTCATGATGCTGGTTTGGCAGCCTCTCCCAAGCCCCTGCTGGGCTCCATTTCCTCATCCTTCCCAGGAGGAAGCTTTCACTTCCCGTCTGGGTCCTGAAGCCATGCCACGTGGACCAGCTTTCCCCACAGCCTCCCGCGCTGCCCTGGGCTGCAGGGCCGGGGTGGGGTCACTTCCTGAAGCAGGCCGGTCTCCCTGCCCTCCCAGCAGGGGGGCGGGCGAGGGTCCTCCTTGGGCTACAAAGAGGGGAACCGCCGAGTTTTTCAGACTTGGGGCTGTGATCCATTCACACACCACACGTGCCTGTGGTGGGTGGCAACCTTCATTTTTTAAATAAAACAAAAATTGGGGAAATGAATGTATTGCAAAAAAAAAAATTAGGTTAGCTGGTGCTTGGTAAAAACTCTGTTCTCCATGCTTTTGGGGGAGACCTGAGATCAGAGAGTTGGAGGCAACTGAGGAGGGGCCAGGGGTCTAGTTCTCTGCTGTGGGTCCCTGTACCCCACAGGAGCTGTCCAGCTTCCACGTGTCCATGGAAACGGCACATTAACTGGTATTTTGATGACACTTGCCCTCACTACCTGTGTCTTGTTGGTGAGGGGCTCGGAAGACTTGCGCTGACTCTGCTGCTTCTCCATTCGCTGTGTGGCTCCAGGGGGATTCGTTTACCCCTCTGAGCCCCCATATTTCCCTGGACCTGGGAAAACAGTGGATATCTTTGTGAGGATTGGCTGAGGACATGCAGAGAGTACCTGGGCTTGGGAGATACTAAGAGTTGAGTCATGGTGACGGCATTGATGGGGAGGAGGGTGAGGATTGCTCCTTTGTGGTTAGCCCTGCGTACGGGTGTGATCCTGGGAAGCCTGCGAGCGCTGGACTCAGACGGCACCGGCTTGGCGAGCTGGCTGCGTAATGCACCTGGGACTCAGTTTCCATACGCGTGAAGTGCGCAGCCTGAGATTTCCCCGGGTTCTGCTGGAGCTGCTTGTCCTGTGGCAGTGACACGTGCACTTGCCATGGCAACCAGGGCATTTGTGAGCTTGATCGGGCCCCTCCTGGAGGCCCAGGGAAGTCTGGAATCTGAGACGCATGTGGCCTTGCATTGGAGAAGTTGAGCTCACAGGGTGCTTTTTTGGCTTATATTTTTTTAGGGAACTTTTCATTTTGGAATGATGTTAGATTTACAGAAAAGAGACAAAGATAGTACAGAGAGTTCCTGTCTGCGCTACACAACTTCCCCTCCCAGTCACATCTCACGCAACCTCACTGCACTGGTCGTGGCTGAGAAATTACCCTATTTTTACATTACTGTTACTATTTTTCAAAAGATTTATTTATGCATTCAAGAGCTGGGGTGTAGGAGAGAGGTGCCGGGGTGAGAGGACTCACCAGAGACAGAGAGGGGAGCAGAACAGGCGGATTGACTGAAATACACTGCTGAGGGGAGCAGTGGGTGAGGCAGGAGAGGTCTGCTGTGCCATGTGGGTAGCTCCCTGGCCGGGGATAGAACTCGTGCTGCAGAGGCTGCGGACAGCTTCATAGTGCTGAGATTTAACCCTTGCACCACCAGGGAGGCCCCATTACTATTACTATTATTACATTACTATTAATGACACACCAAAATTTGGATTACAGGGTTTTCCCACTAAAATCCCTTTTCTACTCCAGTATCCAATTCAGCATCTCACATTGCATTTACGGTTTTGGTTTTTTTTTTTAAAGATTTATTTATTTATTTATTTACACAAGCACTGGGTACAGTCAGAAGCGCGGGAGGGTGAGAGAATTCACCAGAGCCAGAGCGGGGAGCAGAGCAGGCAGAAGGACCGAAGCACACTGCTGAGGGGAGCAGCGGGCGGCAGGAGAGGTCTGCGCGCCCTGTGGGACCCTCCTCCAGTGGCCGGGGAGCAGCCAGGGATCGAACCGGCGCCGCAGAAGCTGCGGGCAGCTTCGCAACCCAGCGCTCAACTGCTGCACCACCGGGGAGGCCCACATTTAGGGTTTTTTTTTTTAATCATTCTTAATTTTTATTTTGAAGTCCTTCAGAATTATAGAAAAGTTGCACCGCATTCTTCTATAAATGTCAAATTTTACGTATTTTCTTTATCCTCTTTCTGTCTCTTTCTCACTATATATACATATACACACTATACATAAGTGTATAATGTGCGTTTAATTTGTAGAATGCATAATCTATAATTTACGTATGCATGTATATTTAATGCATACAAATTCCATTATCTTTGAACCATTTCTGAGTACGTTGCAACCTGACACCATTTGACTCCTAAATTTGTCGATAGGTTTAATTCCTCTAGAAAGCAAAGGCCCCAAAAGTCATGATCAGAAGCAGGCAGCAGTGTCTGCCCCCCTGTCAGGAGGTCACCCCTGATTCCCACCTTGCCAGCGTTCCCGGTTCCCCCACTGAAGTCATGCACAGGGAGGGAACCGTGACTCTCTCTTGAACATGGAGACCAGCAGACTTATCAACAGTTGGTGTCAACCCAGACCTGCCCTGGTTGCCTGCGGTGTGTTGGGGTCTGTAGGGTCACAGAGCCCTGGGGAGCCATGCAATACAGCACCTGCTCCTCCCTGCACCCCACACTCTACCTCTTTTCATTTGCTTGCCTCTACTCCTGTTTCTCCTTTCTGGGCCCAGTCAGGCGAGCTCTTCCCTTTTTGATGTTTGTTCCAGTTCCTCCTGCACCAGCACCCCTCCGCTACCTGGAAGGGCCCCAGGCCAGTGTCCCCAGGAGCCAGCCGGCCCCGCCACGTGCAGGAGCCTCAGAGACAGACCCAAGAGGGAGCTTTCTGCACTCAGATAGCAGGCCCAGGCTTGGTTCCTGAGTTTCTGGCCCTTGGCTCCTGGCTCTAGTGTTGCCAGAACCCAAGGTGGCCTTGTGGGTGTGTGCCCAGGCGCTCGTAGGGTAAATGAAGGTGATTAGGTCTTTGTGCCATTGGCCTCTGTGACTATCACCTGTGGCCTTGGTCTTATCAATGTGGAAGGCGCATGGGTGAGGGCATGCGTACCTGATGGTGGACACCTGGAGTATGGTGTGGGCACGCGGAACTGTGCACACCTGAGCCTAGAGGCCAGGGCTCTAAGGGCAGCGTCACTCGAGACAAAAGGACGGCTATGAGAGGTCGTGACTGCAGAGAGGTGAGACCACGAGACAGTGAGAGAGAGAGAGAGAGAGAGAGCCCAGAGAAAAAGTGTAAAGATTTGCTGGGGGGGGGCCTTCCCTGGTGGCGCAGGTGTTTGAGCGCAGCACTATGAAGCTGTCTGCAGCCTCTGCAGCGCCGGTTCTGATCCTGGCTGGCCGGTGAGGGTCCCATATGGCACAGCAGACCTCTCGTGTCTCCCTGCTGTGCCCCTCAGCAGTGTATTTCCTCAGTCTGCCTGTTCTGTTCCCCGCTCTGTCTCTGGTGAATCCTCTCACTCTCCCGCGAATCTGGCCTGTACCCTGGTTCTTGTTTAAATAAATAAATAAAAATCTTAAAAAAAAAAAAAAGATTTGCTGGGGCTGAGGGGTTTGGTTGCTGCCAGCCTCCCAGCCCCTTGGCCCCCGGATCCCCAGCCCCCTGCCTGTCCTGCACCTGGTTGTCCCGCTACAGCAGTCCACAGTGCCCAGGTCTCACTGCCCTCGGTGACTTGTACTTTCCACAGGAGATAGCAGGGGTGATGGTGAGCACCTGAGTCAGATTCCGCCCCTCCTACGCCCAGGCCCTTGGGGGACTACCTCACTGGTGGTCAAAGCCCCATCCTCCTGCTGACCTGTCAGACCCTTCCCTACCCTCATCTCCTCCCTCTGGTCCCCCTCCCTCCAACCAGAAGGGTCTCCTTGCTATTTCTCCCATACCCAGGTCCTGCCCCAGGGCCTTTGCACTGACTGTACCCGCTGCCTATTGTGCTCTTCCTCTAGATATTGACATAAGAATAATCTTTCCAGCCTTCAGAACTCAGCCTCACAAGCCACCTCTACTGAGAGGTCTTCCTTGATACTTAGTTATCACATCACCTTACACTCTTTATCCTATTTTATGTTCTTTACAAAATTCCTCTACCTGAAATTTTATTTTTTTAAGATGTATTTATTTATGCATACAAGAGCTGGGGTGCAGGCAAGAGATGCAAGGGGTAAGAAGTTCACCAGAGGCAGAGTGGGGAGCAGAACAGGCAGAATGACTGAAATACACTGCTGAGGGGAGCAGCAGGTGAGACAGGAGAGGTCTGCCACGCCATGTGGGCCTCCTCCCTGGCTGGGGATTGAACTAGTGTCTCCCTGCTGTTCCCCTCAGCAGTGTATTTCAGTTAATCTGCCTGTTCTGCTCCCCTGTCTGTCTCGGGTGAATCCTCTCACCACGCTCCACACCTCTGGCCTGCACCCCAGCTCTTGTATGCATAAATACATCCTTAAAAATGTACAAATTGCAACTATGAAAGTTACTGGAAATGCAAAGACCACATGAGACGTAGACGGGGTGGTGTCTGGGCCGAGGTTTGCAGGCCTCTCCTGGGAATACCTTGCTAAGCGCTGGTTTAGCCTCACATCTGCCTGGCAGACGTGGATTTTGGCAAACTATGTTTTACAGATGAGGAAAGAGCCATAGAATGTTGGGGACACTTGCCCAGATTCACAAAGTGAGGCCCTGTCTGAATTGGGGGGGCCGTGGGGAGAGCCCCCAACACTGACTCAACCTTGTGTCTCCCAAGGCCCTGGCGAGAGTGGGAAGAGCACGTTCATCAAGCAAATGCGGATCATCCACGGGGCCGGCTACTCGGAGGAGGACCGCAAGGGCTTTCGGCCCCTGGTCTACCAGAACATCTTCGTCTCCATGCAGACCATGATCGAGGCCATGGACCGGCTGCAGATCCCTTTCAGTAGGCCTGAGAACAAGGTGAGTGTCCTGTGACTTTGCCATGTGTGAGTCTTGCTAAGGCCTGTCCCTTAAGATTTTAGGGTGAGATCATATCCCCACAGACCCCCAAGTAAGACTGTGTCCTCTTGCACCCCCAAGGGTTGTGCTCTGTCTGACACCTGGGCCTTCGTTGAGAACACCCTCCAGGGAGATTCCTGGTATCCTCCCGTTATGGGGGGCACCCAGGGATCCCAAACTATTAAGGGATACAAAACAGTTTGCCCCAACTGAGGGGTACCCAGGGATGCCAAACTATTAAGGGGTGCATACTTTAAAGGGATCCGGCCATCTGTGTACATAAAGGCAGAGGAAGTAAACTCTTGGGGTGATAGATATTTAATAGAATTAATGTTTATAGGGAGAGAGGAGCAGGAAGGATATTTCTAATAAAACCTTGAAAATGATCCATTCCCTCATGGGCAAAGGCCTCACCAAGCAGGGCTGGCTTGCCACCAGTAGGTAACTTCTGGCAGGGAGTAGCAAGGAAGGGGTAAGGCAACTCTGGGGAAAAAGGAATGAAATCAAAGTACAAATCAAGATAATGGCCCCCAATGTCTCTGCCAAGGACAGATTTCCCACGTGGCTCTTACCCATGTGTCTCAAGTGTTTCTGCATGTCTCTTCTCCACAACTCTCCAAGTCCCCCCAAATCCCTGGCTGCAAGTCAAAGCTATAGAAGCAAGAGCCCCCGAGCCCACCTGCCTTCCCTATTATAGAGTTTCATTTGTGTGCTTAGCTCTGTCCCTAATTCCCAGTGACACCCCAGCTCAGGAAGTCCAGTGCATGGCACACTGGGACCTGTAGTCTCAGACGGCTGCCTACAAGTGGGGGTGGGGAAGATGGCGCCTCTCTAATGCCAGCAAGCTAGCAAGCTGCCCCCTTGTTCCCTGTGGACTCCCCTGGGCTTGGTCTTCTCTTACTGGAACCCGAACTGCTTGGGTGGTGTCCTGAGTCTGGCATCGACTCCTTTACAGAAACTAATACAATTGACCCATGCTGAGTTCTGCCCCATCCTGTGGCTGGAGGGGCTACTAATCTTGCATAACTTCAATTTTCTTTTTTTTAAATTTAATTTTATTGTGTTAAGAACATTTAACATGAGATCTACCCTCTCAAGAAACTGTAAGTGCACATTGCAGTAGTGTTCACTAGAGGCACAATTTTTAAAAGCAGAGTTCTGGAATGCATTCATCTTTTGTAACTAAATTTTATGGCCAGTGAACTAAAGCTCCCTATTTCCTCTCCCCCAGTCCTATTCTCTCAATTTCCAAGAATTTATCTGTCCTATATGCCTTGTATAAACAGGATCATACAAGATTTATCTGTGTCCTGTGTCCTTAAGTTTCTTCCATATTGTCACTTGCTGCAGAATTTCCTTCTTTCTTACGGTTGAACAATATTCCAATATTTTATATACACAGTCACGTAACACTTAGTGAGCAGGATGCCTTCTGAGAAATGCCTCGTTTGGTGACTTCATCACTGTACACGCGTCAGAGTGTAATTACGCAAACCTAGATGATATAGTGTAATATATACGTAGGCTATATGGTGTAGCCTATTGGGACCATCTTCATTTGTGTGGTCTGTCCTTTGACACCACTCTGTGCTGTCAAGCAGTGGATGACTGTCTCCGGCATTGTCTTCACCCACTCATCCATTGATGGACATCTTGTACATCTTGAATGTTCTATTAGTGCTGCAGTACACATGTGAGTGCTAATATCTTTTAGAGATCCAGGTTTCATTTTTTCTGGATAAATATCCTTGAGTAGAATTGCTAGATCATATAAGGGCTCTATTTTTAACTTTTTGAGGACATTCCATGCTGTTTTCCATAGAGACTGCACCATTTTGAACTCCCACAAAATATGTGCAAAGGTTCTAATTTCTCCACCTCCTTTCCAATGCTTAAGTTTGTTTTTCATAATAGCCATACTAATAGATATAATGTCATACTACTTTTCTACAATCGTAAAGCTTTTGATTTGTGGATTTGAGCTGGTCCAAGGACTTTGGAAGGGTAGCTGAGGACTAGTAAATAGTACCTAGTGCATAGGCTTAATACATACCACCTGGAATGTAGTATGCGCTCAGTAAGTGTTAGAAGGTGGTGTAATTTTTTTAATCCTTGGATTAACCCCTTTCAGCTGGATGCCCTCACCCCATTTATAGATAAGCAACGGAACACAAAGCATTTTGCTCAAGATTCACAGTCCATAAGGAGAACACAACAGATAAGCACCCAATAACCGAAGCAGACATTCACTGCCTTTCTTTAGAAAATAACTTTTTGTTAAGCTATAACTCCCATGCAGAAAAAGGCCCATCTGGGAAGCTCAGTGGATTATCACAAGGCAAACACACACATGGAGCTCCTGTCCAGGACAAGAAGCAGAACATGTCCCCAGAGGTCCCTTCTCAAAGTCACTGTTCCCCAAGGGTAGCCTCTACCCATTTTCCATCACCTGAGGTTAGATTACCTGTTTTTGAAATTCTCATAACATTTTACAGAATATTCCTCTATGCCTGAGTCCTATGTCCCAGGTTTGCCTGTCTTTTAGGACATAGTTGTGGTTGGTTTCTGCCATAAAGTGTGCCATGGTGTGTTACCCATCCCAGTACTGTCCAGCACTGGGTCAGCTGCAGATCTATGATGAGAATATATGCATTTCTGTAGGATATTTGCACTTTTCATTTGTTGGGAACTTGGATACTCTATTTCATGAAACAACAGTTCAAATCTTTTTAAAAAATATATTTATGTATTTATGCATATAAGACCTGGGGTGCATGCCAGAGGTGCAGGGGGGTGAGAGGATTCACCAGAGACAGATGGATAGATGTTCTTAATTTTGGTGGTGACCAATTTATCAGCCATTTTTTGTAAATTTTTTTGTGACCAACTTAAGATATTTATTTTACTCAGAGGTCATGATGAAAATCTCTATACTTAATCTTTTGGGAGCTTTATTGTTTCACATTGATATATTTTTTTTAAGTATTTATTTATGCATACAAGAGCTGGGGTGCAGGCCAGAGGTGTGGGGGGTGAGAGGACTCACCAGACACAGAGCGGGGAATAGAACAGGCAGACTGACTGAAATACACTGCTGAGGGGAGCAGCGGGTGAATCAGGAGAGGTCTGCTGTGCCATGTGGGTTGCTTCCTGGCCGGCTGGGAATCGAACTCGTGCTGCAGAGGCTGCTGATTGCTTCATCAGTTGCATCTTAACCCTTGCGCCACCAGGGAGGCCTTGTTTCTCATTCAGATTTATGTTCCATCTAGAATTGATTTTTGTGTAAAGTGTGGGGCTGGGATCAAATTTCTTTCTTTTTCTTTTCCAGTGCAGATATTTAATTATACCAGCATCATTGACAGAAAAAGCCACCCTTTCCCCACAGCACTACAGTCTCACTTGTGTGATCAATCATGTATTCAAAGATGCCTGGATCCATCAACATTTGATCTTCTGTTCCATTGGTCTATTGAACTGTCTTTGAGTGAATATCACTAAGTTAGTGACTGTAACTTCTTAGTAGGCTAACCTTGACATCTGGTAGTGGAATCCTGCCATTTTGTTCTTCTCCAGAATTGCCTTGGCTACGCTAGGTCCTTTGCATTTCTACATAAAGTTTAGAATTATCTTGTCTATTTACACACACACACACACACACACACACACACACTCCCCTCTTCTGGGATTTGGTTAGGATTGCATTTTGAGTCCTGTAGGTTCATTTGGAGAGAATTACAGCTTAGAAATGAATGTGGCAGGGCCTCCCATTTATTTAGATCTTTAAATCTTTCTTTTAAGCACTTTGTGGTTCTCAGTGTAGAGAATGTTTTATATCTATTGTTAGATTTATCCCTAGATACTTGGGATCTTTTGATGCTACTGTAAATGGGACTTAAACTTTTTAAAGTGTTCACTAGCTAGTGGCTCGTGTATAGATGCACAAAGGTCTTTTGTATGTTGATCTGTATTCAGCGGCTTTGTTAATCACTTGTTTATTCTAGTAGTTTATCTCTAGACTATTTAGGATCTTCTATGTATAGTCATGTCATCTGCGAATAACCACAGTTTAATATATTCCTTTCCAAAACTGACAGATTTCATGTCTTTTTCTGGCCTATTACATTGGATAGGGCCTTAATATTGTGGTAATTAGAAGCAGTGAGAGTGGGCTGTCCTTTTACCTCCTGTCTCCTGACTTTTTTTTTTTAAAGATTTATTTATACAAGAACTGGGGTACAGTCAGAGGCGGGGGAGGGTGAGAGAATTCACCAGAGACAGAGTGGGGAACAGAATTGGCAGACAGATGGAAGACACTGGTGAGGGGAGCAGTGGGCGAGACAGGAGAGGTCTGCTGTGCCATGTGGGTAGCTCCCTGGCCGGCCGGGGATCGAGCCTGCACTGCAGAGGCTGCGGACAGCTTCACAGTGTGGAGTTCAATCCGCTGCGCCACCAGGGAGGCCCCTGTCTCCTGACTTTCAACAGCAAAAGACCCACAGTCTTTGACCATATATTAATCAATTCAGGACCTTCACTGAATATAATTTTTACTTTTAATTTTTAAAAGAATGTTTCTCCAGGGCCTCCCTGGTGGCGCAGGTGGTTGAGAGCCTGTGTGTGTTTCGGTCTGTCTGCCTGTTCTGTTCCCTCCTCTGTCTCCTGTGAATCCTCTCACCCTCCCGTGCATCTGGCCTGTACCCTGGTTCTTGTTTAAAAATAAATAAATCTTTAAAAAAAAAAACAACATTTCTCCAAAGTTTTGCTTTTCATTTTTGTTTAAAGATTTATTTATTTATATATATACAAGAACTGGGGTACAGGCCAGATGTGCGGGAGGGTGAGAGGATTCACCAGAGACAGAGTGGGGAACAGAACAGGCAGACTGACGAAATACACTGCTGAGGGGAGCAGTGGGCGAAATAGGAGAGGTCTGCGGCGCCATGTGGGATCCTCACAGGCCGGCCAGGATCGAACCGGTGCTGCAGAGGCTGCGGACAGCTTTACAGCACTGCGCTCAACCACCTGCGCCACCAAGGGAGGCCCCAAAGTTATGCTTTTTAAACGATTACTCATTTTGATTGTGTTTTTTAAAATTTCAAATAGAGTGTTTGTTCAGTTTGTCATAATAAAGTACCCAGAAGGGGCGGCTTAAACAACAGAAGTTAAAGTCTTTGTGGTCATGAAGGTTGACAGTCTGAAGTCAAAGTGTCAACCAGGTTGGTTCTCCTGCAGTCTCCTAGTGTCCTCACAAGGTCATCCTGCTGGGGTGTCTGTCTGTCTGTCCTCGCCGCCTCTTCTTATAAGAACATCCGTTATTTTTCATTAGCGCCCACCCTAATGACCTCGCTTTACCTTCATCGCCTCTATCAAGACCTTATCTCCAAACAGCCACCTTCTGAGGCCCAGGAGGGGTTAGGACTTCAACACATGGATTTGCAGAGAACACAGTCTAGCCCAGAACAGACTGCAAGCGTTCCATAGGTGCTGATGCAACTGTGAATGGGACTTCAACTTTTAAACATTTCCACTATTTAGTGGCCAGTCCGTCCCGAGTCCTCACCCACAGTCACTCAGACACGAACCACTTTCAGTAGAAGCTTGAAAGGCACTCACGTTCGGTGGGGCACAGAAGGGGCATAATCTACCATCATCTCTTCCCACTCCTGCTGGTCAGCCTGGGACTGATGGGGAGAATATTCAGGGACCACTTTCTACTGGCTCCCCACCCTCATCCCAGCTATTTGCGTTTTGTGCCTGCCTGGCCTGATGCAGAGGGAAGGCCAAGTTGGTCACTGGACCCCAGAGCCTACCCAGGCCTCTGAATTCCTTTGACCTCCTGTCCAACATCCAGACAATGGCGTTTGGGGTCAGGGCTGTAGAAGTGCATATACAACACACACCCACCTAAACACACACACACACACACAAATGCATACACAAGCACACACACTCGTGCCCACATTTGCATATGCGCACACACGCACGTGCACATCATACAAGTGTGCATGTATGTGTCCACGCACACACACAGACACACATGCACACACAAGCACATGTACATGCATAAACCCAATTCACATGCAAGCACACCCTGGCCCATGTGTGAGCACCCACCAGTGAGTGTACACACTAAGGCACACACACACACACCACATCACACATGTGTATAGGAGCACAAAGGCACACACCCACATATATTCACACACCCTGCACACACGTGCAAAGGCACTCACAAACGCATGCACGCACAGATGTGCATGTGTGCACACGCGGGCCGTGCAGAGATCTGAGCAGCACTCGTGGCTGTTCCTGGAGCAGGGACGGGGCACTGGTGGCGCAGAGCCTGCTGTGGGGAAGGAGCGAGGGCGTGGGGCTGCGCGGCGGGGCGGAGCGTGCCCGTGCCCATGTGCCAGCGGGCAGATCGCGTCCTCTCTTGTGCTTCAGTAGTGGGACTTGCCTTGCAGGTGCCAAAGAACTGGTGCCTAAGGACGTAGGGGGTGCCTGGCCTTGGAGATGCCCGGGCTGCCTGGGCTCTGGTGGTCACTCAGCACTGCGGGTCTCCACACACCCACAGGGGCCGGCGCGAGTCAGGGAAGCGGGCGGGCTGCGCGCAGGGCGCGTGGTGAAGGTTCTGGCATAGGACGGACAAGCCGTGGAGAAAGGAGGGGGGCAGTGGACGCTGCGACTCACCCCTGTCCTTCCTCCCCAGCACCACGCCAGTCTGGTCATGAGCCAGGACCCCTATAAAGTGGCCACTTTCGAGAAGCGCTTCGCGGTCGCCATGCAGTGGCTGTGGCGGGACGCGGGCATCCGGGCCTGCTACGAGCGCCGGCGCGAGTTCCACCTGCTCGACTCTGCCGTGTAGTGAGTCTGGGGTGTCCGGACAGTGGGTGCGAGAGGGGCCCAAGGGCTTTGGGTGGGGCAGTCACAGGGCAAGCCCCCGGCCAGGACGCAGTCCCGAGGGGGCACACACAGTAGGGGCCTGGCTGGCGACTGCCACTGCAGGGACTTTCTTCTGGGCCCGGGATGGCTGCCAGGTGGTCTGGCTCCAGGGTGACAATCTGGGGATGCCACTGCCCTGGGATGTTGCGGCTCCTGTGATGTCACAGCTCCTAGGGTGATGCTGCCCTGGGTGACACAGTTCCTGGGGGCACACTGCTTCTGGGGTGACACTGACCCTGGATGGATGCTGTTCTTGAGGTGACACCCTTTCTGGGGTGACACTAATCATCATGCCAATGACACTGTCCTTATGAAGATGCTGGGCATCTGGGGTGATTGATGATGAGGATCCTATTCCCAGTTCTAGGGGCAGCCCCCCAAGGTGATACCCTTCCCCAATGCGGCTGTTTTTGGGTTCATGCTGCCCCTGAGGTCATGCAGCTCCAAGGGTGAAACTGGTTCTCCCCAACACTCCCAACATTCCCAGGATGGTGCTCGTGGGCCACCAGCAGACCCCACAGTCCTAGTTCCTCTCTGGGCCTCCTCACCTAGCAGGGTCCTTTCTAGGCTCTGGGGTCTGAGAAGCAAAGAAAGGCTGAAAGACTGGGCCTCAGGGCTCCTTGCTCCACAGCTACCTGTCCCACCTGGAACGGATCACTGAGGAGGACTACATCCCCACGGCCCAGGACGTGCTCCGCAGCCGCATGCCCACCACTGGCATCAACGAGTACTGCTTCTCTGTGCAGAAAACCAACCTGCGGTGAGCACAGCCTGGGAGTGGGGAGGGCTTCCAGTAGGAGGGGCAAAGGAGCTGGGGCACTGAGGGATGAGGAGGAGTTTCCCAGTCTCAGTCCTCAAGAGGCTGCCAGAAGCGGAGGTCTTCTTAGAGGAGGGAACACCGGTATTAGGGGGTTAAAGAATGAATAGGGGTACACAAATGCTAACTTTCAAGGGGCTTCTGGGCAGGAAAAGACTGGCTGTGGTCAGGGCTAGGCCAGAGGGATTGGCGAGGGGGTGCGGCTGGAGATTAGGAGATGCAGGAGGAGATGGGAGCCGTGGTCCAGGCAGGAAGGGTGGGGAAGGCCATAGGAATGGAAATGGGGGATGGTGCAAGATTTGTTTGTGATGTAGATGGGGCAGGAGTAGAGGAATAGAGGAGTGGGGGAATCAGAGCAGGAAGTCAAAAATGACTTCCAGGTGTCCCATCACGGTGACAGCGGACGGCAGAGCTGCCGTGGCAGCAGCAGGATGAGGGCTGTTAAGATAAGACAATGAAGTCATTTGGGGCAGGTTGGTTCTGAGGAAACTGGGGCATCTGGGAGGTGGCTGGACACCAGACAGAGGGGCAGGAGGCCAGTGCAGCAACAGATTGTCCAGACAGCGCGATGGTCAGTGGCAAAGGCCAAGGAGAAGCCAGGAAACATACAGGGAGATAAGCAACTTTTAAAATGGTCAGTTAAAAGGTCATTGGTGACTTAGCAAGATCTGTGCTTGTGGGCTGATGGCAGGGGACTGTGGACGGCTCGGAGGACCCAGGGGCTATGTCCAGCTCACCCATGTTGATTCCCTCATTTCTCTGAGCCCCGCCTCCCAAGCATGCTACTGAGGTGATCGTCCTTACCAGGAAGTTCATAATTATCTGTTTGCCGTGGGTATCCTCCAGTAGGTGGGGAGCCCCGCAGAGTTAGGGACTTGCTTTACCAGTGCTAATTAGCACAGGGTCAGTGTGTGAGTTAGTCAGTGTGGGTGGCTGTCTGGAAGGGCGGGGGGTGGGTCAGTGAGTGGATGGTGGATGAGTGGATGATGCAGAGAAGGGTGGGCTTGGGGACGGGTAGATGAGTGAATGGATGGACAGGTGAATTCACAAGTGGGTGGGGGGATGGATGGGTGGAAGGACGGACGGACGGGCAGATGACGGGTGGATGGCTGAGAGCTTAGAAGTGAAGGTAGATGGAACTTGGGGGAGTTGCAAGGAAGCCTGCATTGAGGAGGGGATTTTTAGGTGGGGAGACCTGAGTCTGATCTTAGGCCGAGAAGAGGCGTTAATCGCTGGAGTGAGGGCGCAGAGGACACTGAGACCTGGAGACAAGAGGCTGGCAAGTATCGTACCCCACATCTGTTCCAGTCCAGTCTTCAGACCCCCACTCTCAACCAGTGTACCCCAATTCCACTCTGGATATGGAGATTTGGGGGTGTCTGAAGTCACATGAGAGCGGCAGGTCTTGAGCCCAGGAGCTGCAGGCACCAGCCTCACTTTCCCTCTGTGCAGCGGGCAAGTCTCTTCTTGCTCAGGCCTCTGGCTCAAGCATTTCCCGTCGGCTGCCTGAGTAACGGCTGAGTCTTGGGGAAATGACGCGGAACCTGTTATCAGTGACCCACATTTCTTAGAAGGGAACAGGAAGGCGGGAGGGCTCAGGCTTCTGTGGGGTGGTGGCCAGTCCTGTCCCAGGCCACACACAGAGGGGACAGTGTCTGCCCCTTCTGGGGGCCCTCACGCCCCTCTGTGAGGCCAGTGGACAGTCCCGTGTGTCACGACGCAGCCTCCCCATCTCTCAGGTGGGCAGACGGTTCTGGAGCCATTCCACAACTTCCCACGGGCCACGCAGCCAGAGCCCAGCTCTGGATGTGTCCAACCTGGTGTAGCAGGAGATCAGGAAAGTCCCCTCTCCTCAAGCCCCAGCTTCCTCGCTTATAAAATAGGTGGGAGTTACCTGCTGTAACACACAAGTGAGACAGCTCGGGGTTGACTCCTCCTCTCGCTGCTGTTAATGTCGGTGCTGGCAACACCACACGTGACTGGGGCCCAGGGTGCCACGTGTTGGACCCCGAGCTCTGAAAGGGGATGGCTCCCTGCAGGATTGTGGATGTTGGGGGCCAGAAGTCAGAACGCAAGAAGTGGATTCACTGCTTCGAGAATGTGATCGCCCTCATCTACCTGGCCTCCCTGAGCGAATATGACCAGTGCCTGGAAGAGAACAATCAGGAGGTGAGAGGCCACCGAGGGTGCAGGGGCCCTGTGTCCCCTATGGCCAGCGGAGCGCAACGACCATGTCACCTGCAGTGCCCCAGGGCCGCCTCGGTGGGCCATGTGCCCCGTGGCTCTAGCACTGCTCTCCACCATCTTTGGTCAGACCACTGAGCACTTGTGTAGACACACACACACACACACACACACACACACCACGCTCCTGAGAGGGACAAGAGGCCCTGGGGGGCCCCTCTCCCGGAAGCATGGCCTGAACTGTTCCGGGAAAGCAGGTCACGCTGCAGGGACAGGAAGGCCTTCCCTCATTTTATGGGCTCTTTCCCTGGTTATCACTGGGGCTGGAGGTCCGCATGTTATCACGTCCGAGGTGTTCACTTTTCGGGGTCCCATCGTAGACAGTCTGGGGAACTGAGGGTCAGTTGCTGTAATTTTGACTTTCAGATGGAGTAGGAGGTCCATGCATTCGAGGTCATTCTGACACCGTTCTTGCTGGAAGGCAGCCACCCCAGATGACCTGATTTGCTGGGGCTACTCTAACCAAGGGCTGCGTTGTGGGCGGGAGCTGATACAACAGAAATTTATTCTCTCACAGCTCTGTGGGCTGCAAGTCTGAGCCCACGGTGTCAGCTTTGGGGTCACTGGCAATCACGGGCCTGTAGATGCATCTTCTATCTCTGGCTCTCCCCACGTATGTGTCTTGGTCCAAAAGTCCCCTTTAGAAGGACACCAGTCATTTGCTTGCTGCCACTAATCCAGCGTGACCTCTTCTTAACTAATGACATCCTCTAAGGCCCTATTTCTAAGCAAGGTCACATTTTAAAGTTCCAAGTGGACCTGAATTTGGGGGGGGCAAACTAGTGCAAGCACAAAACCCTGCCGGGCACACATACAGTCTGCTATAGCTCCCTCAGACCCAGCAGGCAGCAGCCAGGGGCCCCAAGCCAGGGACAGTAGACCCACAGCCCCATCTCTGCATGGGGGAGGGCTCCTGTTTGGGCCATGCCAGCTGGCTGGGGCAATGACTGCCTGCCCGCCCACCCCAGAACCGAATGAAGGAAAGCCTGGCCCTGTTTGGAACCATCCTGGAGCTGCCCTGGTTCAAAAGCACGTCCGTCATCCTCTTCCTGAACAAAACTGATATCCTGGAGGAGAAGATTCCCACCTCGCACTTGGCTACCTACTTCCCCAGTTTCCAGGGTAAGTGGTTCTAGAACTTTCTCTCCCCTTCCCCTTCCCAAAACAGCTCCCAAGTGAGATGCTAATCCAGGCCCTAGCCCATCCCAGAATGAGTGGAGTTTCAAATAAGACCTTGCAGATGTGAGTTTCAGACCTTTCCATGGCCCGGCCTCTCCGAGTCTCAGTCTACCCCTCTCTAGAATGGGGACGAAGTAACAAAAGGCTTTATATTACATGCAGTTGCTTAAAAAGGGAAATTCTGACACTACTTGCAGACCTTTTGAGTGTGGGTCTGCTGCACACACTTCACCCTCAGAGCCCACACCTGGAAGGCTGGACGTGTATTTCCAGCACCCAACTAGATTTTTTTTTTTTAATAGAGGCATGTTTTATTTATTTATTTGTTTGTTTGTTTGTTTTTGTTTATACATGCACTGGGTACAGTCAGACGCGCGGGAGGGTGAGAGGATTCACCAGAGCCAGAGCGGGGAGCAGAGCAGGCACAAGGACCGAAGGACACTGCTGAGGGGAGCAGCGGGCGGCAGGAGAGGTCTGCGCGCCCTGTGGGACCCTCCTCCGGTGGCCGGGGAGCAGCCGGGGATCGAACCGGCGCTGCAGAGGCCGCGGGCAGCTTCGCAACCCAGTGCTCAACCGCTGCGCCACCAGGGAGGCCCCAACTAGATTTTTAAAACATGTTTTTCTAATCTTTTGTAGTCCCCTCTTCCATACCTAATTACATAGCCTTTTATTTTAGGCTAATCTTTAATCTGTGATTACCCTTTCAACATTTCTTCCTAGCACACACAGTTTTCATAGACACTCTGACTCTCACGCTGCACGTGGCGCTCACAGGTCTCTGTAGTGTCTTGTTCAAGTGCAGGTTCGTAAAGATGTTACAAGTGGCATAGAGAGGTTAGGGGCAGAGCAAGCACTTCCTAAAAGCCACGTGAGAGCAGCTTCTGCCTTTCAGGATTCGAACCCAGGCTTCCTGGGTCACCAGTCCCTGGTCTTAACCTTGTGCTACCCCCAGGCCTTTCTGCAAGGATGCTGACAGCACCTGTTCACCAACTTCTGCTTACTGGCTGTCACGCCCCCCACATGATTATGCTCAGTCCTTACAATGACCCTGGGAGGCCTGGAGCTGTTCTGTCATTTTACAAGTGAGGAAACAGGCTCAGAGGCTACACAGTAATGTAAAGTCACTTAGAACCAGCAAGTATCAGAGCCACCTCTCAGGCTCCTGAAGTCCTTGAGTCACATCACTGTGAGCTTTCAACACATGTGTGTGTGCTCGGGGCCCCAGGCACCCCAGCAGGCTCCATCCCCGCCTCTGTACCACCAGCCATGGCTGTCTCTGTGACTCCCGGCTTCCATCTCCCTAGTTCCAAGCTAAGCCAAGAGACACTCTTGAAGACAGCTCTGCCCAGGTTCCCAGAGCGGAGTCCCACGGTCCATTCCAGCTCCTCCAGCTCGAGTGACTCCTGCAAGTCCGTCCCTGATGCTCCCGCTGGCGGGGCCCAGGTGACCGTGACCCAAAAGCAAAAGATGGCGCCCTAGTGCAGACCCCATGGTGGACAGTCCCCCAGCCCTGACGCGGCCCTCCTAGAAGAGGCGTCCAGAGCTCCCCTCGGCCCCGGGAGGGGGGTCTCTCCTGCGCTCTGGCGTGGCGCCCTGACTGGCCCCTCCCCCGCCCCAGGCCCGAAGCAGGACTCGGAGGCGGCCAAGAGCTTCATCCTGGACATGTACGCCGGCATGTACGCGCGCTGCGCCGACGGCCCCGACGGGGGCAGGAAGGGCGCCCGCTCCCGGCGCCTCTTCAGCCACTACACGTGCGCCACGGACACGCAGAACATCCGCAAGGTCTTCAAGGACGTTCGGGACTCGGTCCTGGCGCGCTACCTGGACGAGATCAACCTGCTGTGACCCAGGCCCCGCCGCCTCTGGGCGCACCGGACCTGCGGGCTGGTGGGTGCAGAGCGCGGGCGCTCCGTGGGCCCCGGGCCCGCTGGGCGCTGCGGCCCCACCCCAGACGGCGCGAGGGCCGCGCGGGGTGCGGGGCTGGACGGCCCGCCCCCCCCGCTGGCCCCTCAGCGGGGCAGCCGCCCCCGCCAGCTCCGCCCTTCGCCCCTCCTCGCCCCAGGTGACCTTCCAGAGGAGGCGCACAGGGGCGTTTCCGGGTGCCGGGGTGGCGGGGACGGCCAGGAGCGGGGTTCGCGGACTGGGGAGGGTAAGCCCCGCCTCCAGGGGTGTCCCCTCTGGGGCCGACGTCTGGGAACCCGGAGGGCCCGGCCTGGGCGGGGCCCGGGCGAGGGACACGGGCTCTGACGCCCCCTGGCGGGCGGGAGAGGGCATCGCCCAGCCTGCGGCCTGTGGCCCTCGCTTCTCGGGAAGGGGGAAGAGCCCCCCGAAAAACACTGTCCTTTTTAGAAGCTTGTGCTCCCAGCGTGCCCTGGGCGGCAGGCGGGGTCAACCGAGGGCCCCAGGCACACCCCTCGTCCCCAGGCGGGAAGCTGGGCGCGCCGAGCCTTACGATCTTGTGTATTTATTCGCTTAGCTAATGCTAGACGTTAAAGCCAGAACATTCTGTAGACCTATGTCTTCTCCAGGGTGCCCTGTTTATCCTCTCAAGCTCCCTTCTCGGGTCACCTGTCCCTGATGGAAGTAGCAGCATTGGGGGGGAGGGGACAGTTCTGCTCGCTGTTCCCGGATATGTGCAAGACACGGTAACCTGAGTGGGAGTGTGCCCCTTGGAGCCAGGAGGTGGGGTCTAATCTCTCCCGTGGCCCTGGGGCCACATTTGGAGCCTGCCTTCTGCTGCTCCCCACCAAAAATTACAACAGCAGCCACCTCCTATTTCTGGTGGCGAAGAAGATGGGTTGCCCCACTGACTCCAGATGGTGCTGCATCTTCATAGCAGCCTTAAGTGGCACAAGCCCTACAGCCCCACTTTGCAGATGAAGATGCCCCCTCGCAGAGAAATTGAATAATTTGACTAAGGCCACACACCTGGGAGGTGACATAGCTAAGGTTTTTTTTTTTTTTTAAAGATTTATTTATTTATGCATACAAGAACTGGGGTACAGGCCAGATGTGTGGGGGGTGAGAGGACTCACCAGAGACAGAGCGGGGAACAGAACAGGCAGATCGGCTGAAATACACTGCTGAGGGGAACATCAGGGATACAGGAGAAGTCTGCTGTATCAGCTCCCTGACGGGACGGGGAATCTAACTCGTGCTGCAGTGGCTGGCGATAGCTTGATAGCGCTGTCGTTAACCCCTGCGCCATCAGGGAGGCCCCCCTGTATAAGTCTTAGTATGGCCCTAACTTGTCTCCCTGCTTTCATAGGTTTGAAATTTTCCATAATTAAAGAGCTTTAAAAAAGTTTGAACAATGGGCCTCCCTGGTGGCGCAAGGGGTTAAGCACAGCATTATGAAGCAATCAGCAGCCTCTGTAGCATGAGTTCGATCCCCAGCTGGCCAGGGAGCTACCCATATGGCGCCACAGACCTCTCCTGTCTTGCCCGCTGCTCCCCTCAGCATTGTATTTCAGTCAGTCTGCCTGTTCTGTTCCCCACTCTGTCTCTGGTGAATCCTCTCACCCCTCAATCCTCTGACCTGTACTCTAGCTGTTGTATACATAAATACATAAATCTTTAAAAAAAAAAAAGATTGAGTGATGACTTCAGCCAGGTGAGAAGGTCAACACTGATGGCAACAGTCATTTGACAGGGTGCGGTGATGAAAATGGCACACATCTCCAGTCTTCCTCCCTAAAACCTATCACTTCCATCTTAACATGCCGTATTTAGAGTCATTGCATATATGATCAAGTTAAGATGAACTGATTGGGAGGCGCCTAGTCCATGGTGATTGGTGTATGTAAGAAGAGGAAAATCTGGACACAGACACACAAAAGAAAACAGCCATGTGACGCCGGAGGCAGAGGTTGGAGGGGTGTGGCCACAAGCCAAGAGAGGCATGGGGCCACCGGGAGCTGGAAGATGCAGGAAAGACCCTCACCTGGAGCCTCCAGTCAGGGCAGGACCTGCTGACACCTGGATCTCAGACTTATGGCCTCCAGAATTAGGAGACAATAAAAATATGCTGTTTTAAACCTCCTGTCTGCAATGCTTTGTTATGCAGCTCCCAGAAACTAACAAGATCCTTGGCCAACACTCCATCAAAGCTGTGATCAAAAACAAGACAAATCAGAGAGAGAAACCATCAGAACCAATAAGAGTCCCCAGAAAGTTGAGGTATAAATGCTTCTCCTCTATGTTCGAACTTCTAAATGCTTTAGCAGCCATTGATGAGCATTGCTTGGATACATCATTATGGAGTTGCAAAAATAGGGGTTTTAATACTTACATTTCTTCTGCATTTGTTGTCTAGAAACATTCTATTTAAAAAAAAACACTCATCTAAAAGAAATGAGAGCAGGGTCTTGAGGAGATATTTATGCATTGTATTTATAGCAGTAGGATTCACACTAGCTAAGCCAGGAAGCCACCTGAGGGTTCATGGACAGATGAATGGATAAATACAAGGTGGTCCATGCACACTAGGGACTATTATTCAGCCTTATAAGAGAAGGACATTCTAACACAGGCCACAGCATGGATGGACCTTGAGGAAGGACATGATGCTCAGTGAAATAAGCCAGAATCAAAAGGACAAATCCTGTGTGATCCACTCATAGGAGGGCCCCAGAGGAGTCACATCTATAGAGAGAGGAGGTAGGTGGTGGGTGCGAGTGGCTGGGGGAGGGGAGGAGAAGGGAGGAGGGTTAGTGTTTGATGAGGATGGAGTTTCAGTTGGGGAAGACACAAAAGCTCTGGGGATGGAGGGTGGAGAGCATTGCATAACTCTGTGAATGTGCTAATATGACTGAGCTCTGCACTTACGTGGTTAACATGGCAAATTTTATGTAATATATATTTTAGTACAATTGAAAATAATTTTTGAAATGCAGTGTGATTAAAAAACCTCTCCTCATCAAGTAATTGGTTTCCCAGAAATAGACTGTGCAGGAAGGACCGGATCAATGCTCGATTCTTACCATCTCTTTAGTAATTTTCAGAATAAAGATGAGTTCCCCAATAGCCACTAAAGATAAGCAGGGACTTTTCTCTTTTGTGTCACTATGAACTCATTCATAGGTGGTTTTTTTCAAACTTTTTAAAAAAGATTTTTATTTATTTATGCACATAAGAGCTGGGGCACAGGCCAGAGATGGGGGTGGGGGGTGAGAGGATTCACCAGAGACAGAGTGGGGAACAGAACAGGCAGATGGACCAAAAACACTGCTGAGGCGAGCAGTGGGCGAGACAGGAAAGGTCTGCTGCGCCATGTGGGTTTCTCTCTGGCCGGCTGGGGATCGAACTCCTGCTGCAGAGGCTGCGGATTTCTTCATAGTGCGGTGCTTAACCCCTTGCGCCTCAAGGGAGGCCCTCATTCATAGATGTTGAGCGGCAATGTGTGTTCATATATGCAAATGTTATGCTTTCTACATGCCTGTTGTTCCGTCTCTGGCCGGTGGGCTCCTTAATTGCTTGTAAAGACCCCCAGGGATCTTAAGAGTTCATGGTACCTGGTGGATGTTCTAGGCTCATCCTCCACTTTTCCAATCCCAGCCCTGGACCCTGCCATTCCTCCAGGGAGCTCTGCTTCCCTTTAATGGTGATGCTATTGAGAGACCACAAAATTAGGAAATTCAGATTTTCTTCACTGATCTTTTTGTTTTGAAAACATTCAACTCTACAGAAGTTGCAAAACTCTCACCATGATCTCCCATCTATGCTTCTCTGTGGTATGGCGCCAAGGACTCCCCGCGCTCAGCCTGTTCCTGGCTCCTTAAATCAAGTCTCCTTAGCTCACAGCCTCCCCGTTCATTTACATTTCATCTCTGGTAGCTCAGTTGAGAAGTTTCGACAGAGATGGTCATGTTTGAAAAGCTGAAAATATTTACTCTTAGGCCCTTTTACAGAAAAAAAAAAAATTGCCAATGCCAGCACTAGGTGTTCGGGCTAAATTTTTATTATGTATTTATGCATACAAGAGCTGGGGCACAGGCCAGAGGTGTGGGGGGGGGGCGGGTGAGAGGATTCACCAGAGACAGAGTGGGGAGCAGAACAGGCAGACTGGCTGAAACACACTGCTGAGGGGAGCAGCGGGTGAGACAGGAGAGGTCTGCTGCGCCATGTGGGTTGCTCCCTGGCCAGGGATTGAACTTGTGCTGCAGTGGCTGCCTATTGCTTCATGGTGCTGAGACTCAATGCCCTGCACCACCAGATTTTTGTTTAAACCACAAGTGCACACTGACACTTTGAACCCTACTCCATTCCTGCTGGGGTCTGGGCGCCTTCTTTGGGTCTGGTTCCATGTTTCCATCCTCTCTCCTCCTCCACTCTGAAGATCCTGTTTACCAGCAACTCCAGGGCATGGTCCTGTGTTGCTACCTGATGGGGACGTGTCCTGAGAAATGTGTCCTTGGGCAACTCAGTCCCTGTGTGAACATCACAGAGAGAATGACACTGGCCTGGGGGGTACAGCTGCTGCACCCCCGGTGCAGGCTGTGGGGATCCCCTCGTATCTGTGGCTTCTCCTTGACCAAAACCACCAGCAAGTAACGTACGTTTCTCAGTTCCATCACACATGCTAGTTTCAGTCTCACTGTACCCTGCGCCCCCGAGAGCCTTCTAGATTGCAGCTCAGGGCCTCCTCCTAGTTTCCGTGTTGAGCGCGAGCATCGTGTCCAGAGCTGCACAGGTCGGTGCGGCCCTATTTCTGCGGGCTTGTGTGGTGCATTTGAAACACAGCTTGGTTTATTTTTCATCTCCGTCCTTTCCCTTCTCCGTCTTGGAGAGCTGGATCTGCCCTTTCCTCGCTCCACACCTTTCATGGATTCATCTCTGAGTTGCCCTGTAGGTTTTTTCTTTTTTTCACTTGTCTGACTTCTAAAATTTGTTTTCTTTTTGCCACCACCATCCCTTCTACCCCTTTGACCCTCTCTTCCTCCCCTTCCCTCTTAGCCTCAAAAATTAAGGTCTGTTAGTTTTGTAAGTATTTTACCTTGTCAAGTTGTCCACTGTGTAATTTTCCAGTATTTGCCTTTGTTCTTTTTTTACTACACGCAGTTCCCTCGAAGGCCTTCCGCTGCGTCGTCTTTCCTCATGACTGAACAGCATTCCGTCGTGTGGACATTCTGCATCTTCTTAGTCCTGCCTTCTGACCAGGGTCACTTAGGTTGCTCCCATGGCCTCGCTATTGTAAATAACGCTGCAGTAGACATTCTCGAGCATATAATTTTTTGAGTTAATGGCTTCATGTTCTTCAGAATGACGCCCAAGAGTGGGACTGCTGGGTCAGATAGTGTTTCCATTTTTATTTTTATTTTTTAAAGATTATTTATGCACACAAGAACTGGGGTACAGGCCAGAGGTGTGGGGGGTGAGAGGATTCACCAGAGACAGAGCGGGGAACAGAACAGGCAGATTGACTGAAACACACTGCTGTGGGGAGCAGTGGGCGAGTCAGGAGAGGTCTGCTGCGCCGTGTGGGTAGCTCCCTGCCCGAGGATCGAACTCTGCAGATAGCTTCACAGTGCTGTGCTTAACCCCTTGCGCCACCAGGGGGGCCTGATTTAATCTTTATTGTTGAATTTAGTAACCAGTAGCAGGGTTTAAAAACTTTACAACCAGGAATATTCATGAGGTGCCGTTTCCACCCCCTCACACCATCCTTTCCAATTTTAATCTCACCCACCACCTCCTGCATATAATCATCTTCATTGGTTCCTGGTTTATCTGTCTTGTGTTTGTTTTGAAAAGCAAGTAGATATTATTCCTCCTTTTTAAAAATTACACAAGCGGTAACACACTACACATATTTTCGTACTTTGGTTGCCTGCCCCCCACACCCCCATCCCCCGTGCCCCTTAACAGTGTGTCCGGGGAATCACTGTGTGACTTTCACAGATCACACTGACTCCTCCCTGTGGGGAGCACAGGCCAGGCGGACATGGGCTGCTGCACAGCTGCCTCTGGCCTGACGACCTTCCCCCAGGCCCAGGATGGCCTGGACTGTACACACCACCCTCGCCTGCTTCCCCCCACCACCTGTGCCCACACTTTAGACCTCACCATTCCAGGCTGATTCAGTCGAGCTGCGTCAGGGTGGACATGGTCGGGGAGCAGGCCCCCCTCCTCCCGTGGGCGTCTTCCCTCCAGAGGCCGGGAGCCCCTGGTGGGCGTCCCATCAGTCGTGCTCTTAGCACAGCCACCGCGGGAGCCGGAGGGCACCTGGGCGGGGAGATCCTGACCCGAGACCCAGGTCTGGACGTGAGTGTGCTGTGGCACCAACAGCTGCCGCCCCTCCCCCCACCAGGCCTGGTTTCCTTTTCTGTAGATGAAGACCCCAAACCTGCCCTGGCTCTGGGCTGGAAGTAAATGGAATGCACCCCTGCCTTCAAGTGAGGTGGCTGGCTGGTGTGCATGTCCGTGCAGTCACTTGACATGATGCATGAAGCACCTACTATGTGCCAGAGTGCTCGGAGCAGCTTGGGAGCCAGCCATCGAACGCGGAGTTCCCAGGGGGAGTAAGTTGTAGGGGTGAGAAGTGGCTGGAGGGTGCTGGGGAGGGCGTGCTGGGGAGGGCAGGGTGGAGGCTCAGGGGGTGGGGATATTTCTCCTCCCCAAGGGGCCCCCAACCCCTTAGACCTTCTAGGGCCAGATGGGGACAGAGAAGGGTGTCTGGCAGCAGAGGGCAACCACAGGGCCCTCACGACCGTTAGGCTGCCCCTCCCCATTTCTGGCCTCGCCCCCACCCTGGGGATACCTTGAACATAACAGGAAATTTCAAATAACAGGAAACCAAGACCAGGCAAGGCAGGAGGCTCCACCCTGACCCGAGTGAGCCACCCCGGGGCCTTAGTCTGCTCCGGTAGACGGTCATGAATGCCACGGGGTCCCTGGGGGAGGCCCCGGAGTCCTGCTACAAACTGGCTGCCATTGGCCACAGCCGGCTCATCGTCCTGCACTACAACCACTCTGGCCGGCTGGTGGGCCGCGGCGGGCCGGAGGAGGCCGGCCTGGGGGTCTTGCGGGGGCTCTTTGTGGCCATCAGCTGCCTGGTGGTGCTGGAGAACCTCCTGGTGCTGGTGGCCATCGTGGTCCGCATGCGCTCCCGCCGCTGGGTGTACTACTGCCTGGTCAACATCACGCTCAGCGACCTGCTCACCGGGGTGGCCTACCTGGTCAATGTGCTGCTGTCTGGGGCCCACACCTTCCGCCTGACGCCGGCTCAGTGGTTCCTGCGGGAGGGCGTGCTCTTCATGGCGCTGGCCGCCTCCACCTTCAGCCTGCTCTTCACTGCAGTCGAGCGATTCTTCACCATGGTGCGGCCCGTGGCCGAGAACAGGGCCACCAAGACGGGCCGAGTCTACGGCTTCATTGGGCTGTGCTGGCTGCTGGCCACCCTGCTGGGCCTGCTGCCCCTGCTCGGCTGGAACTGCATGTGCACCTTCGAGAGCTGCTCCAGTCTGCTCCCGCTCTACTCCAAGGCCTACATCCTCTTCTGCGTGGTGGTCTTTGCCTGCATCCTGGCCGCCATCATGGCGCTCTATGGGGCCATCTTCCAGGTAGTGCGGGCCAACGGGCAGAAGTCCCCGCGCCCCCCGGCCCGCCGCAAGTCCCGCCGGCTGCTCGAGACGGTTCTCATGATCCTGGTGGCTTTTGTGGTGTGCTGGGGCCCCCTATTTTGCCTGCTGCTTGCTGACATCTTTGGCTCCAATGTCTGGGCCCAGGAGTACCTGCGGGGCATGGACTGGATCCTGGCTCTGGCGGTGCTCAATTCGGCCGTCAACCCCCTCATCTACTCCTTCCGCAGCCGGGAGGTGTGCCGGGCTGTGCTGGGCTTCCTCTGCTGCGGATGTCTCTGGCTGGGTGTGCGGGGTCCAGGGGACTGCCTGGTGAAGGCTGCCGAGGCCCACTCTGAAAACTCTACGACCGACAGCTCGCTGAGGCGGAGGGACAGCTTCCGGGCCTCGCGCTCACTCAGCTTTCGGATGCGGGAGCCCCTGTCCAGCATCTCCAGTGTTCGGAGCATCTAGGCTATAGCTGGGGTCGGTGGTCCAGTTGCAGGGTGCATGCCCGCCCAGGTCAGCCTCCGGGCCCGGCGGAGGCCCAGGAGTGGTGGGCCAATGCCTGGGCCTCACGTGTTTCGGATAGAAGCCTTCACACCGGATGCAGCAGGTGGCCTGGATGGAGAGGAGGAAACACTGCAGCTGGCTGGGCACCCCAGGGGCTGGGCAGCCCAAGCCTCCCTGGGCCTGCTGTTGCCCAAGCAGGTTCCCATTGTTTCCTTGGAGAAGGAGGAGGCTGTTCATGGGGACAGACAGCGCTGTGGAGTGGGCGCCGGTGGGTCTGCTGTGTGTACACCTGCCTCTTGTGTGATGCTGGGAGATCCTAACCCGCTCTGGGTCCCTTTGGGCTCCGAAGCCACAGAGGGTAAGCCGTAGGGTCAATGCCTGGGCAACACGGACAGTCAATGATGCCAAGAGATGTCACAGCCCCCCTCTTATTCACCTCCTGGGGCCGATGGCACAGGGGCTGTGGGGCGCCTGCAGCACCCAAGGACGTGTGCCTGTACCCCAGGAGGACAGGAGGCTGGGCTTTGGAGGGTGTGCTTGTGAGGGTAAGTGTGGGTGATGGAGAGAGACGTGTGGGGTAGAACATGCTGTGCCCTTGAGCCAGTGTAGGCATGTCTGTGTGTGCACCAGTGTGTTGCGGCAGGCCTTCCGGCTGAGGGCATGGGCACTGGTGCGTGAGTGCATGTGTGTGCGTGTGTGCATGCATGTGTGTGTATGTTTGTGTGACACAGCTGCCTGGCAGTGACAGTTCACATCCACCCCTTCTCGCTCACTTCCCATTTCCCTGCCCCTCCTTCCCCCAACATCCGGCCTTTGCAAGGTGTGGGGACCCAGTGTAGGGGCCAGAGAGGGGCAGCTGCTTGGCTGCCTTCTTGCCTCGGAGGAGCTCATTCCTCCAGAATTCCCATTAGTGCCATCAGCCCCCCTCCATCATATTCAGGCTGCACAGCAAGAGGCCATCTGTGCACGTGCTGGCTGTGGGGGGCCTACCTCTGCGCTGTCCTGTGCGGGTGCCCCACGTGGCTGCCGGCTGCTGCGTGTTCAGTTTGAATGTGTTTGCATTTAAATAGCCCACGGGACTCTCAGTGACTATGCTGGGCAGGCAGCACAGGGGTGAACCCTCAATCCGTGGCCCCCTCTGGCTGGGCAGAAATTCCGTCTCCATCCTCCCAGGGCCAGGCTGGGCTGGCTGGTGTTCCTGCCTCGCCTTGCCAAGCTCGTGGGGCAGCCACTCAGCTCAGGACAGCTTTGCTCTGAGACTCGGTTCCTTCTTGGCACGATCCGGGAAGCCCTGACTGGAAACCACTCACCGCACTGTCCACCATAGCAGCCCAAAGCCATGTGTGGCTCTTTAAAATGAATTAAAATGAAATTAAAATTAAAATTTCAGTTTCTCAGTATATTCGTTTGCTGGAGTTGCCATATCAAAGCAATACAGACCGGGTGGTGTAAGTAACAGAAACATGTCCTCTCTGGGTCCTGGTGGCTGGGGGCCGCCATCAATGTGGAGGGGGAGTCTGTGTGCTTGCCTAGATGGTGGGGGTTGTTGGCAATCTTTGGCCTTCCTTCGCTCTAGAAACATCACCCCAATCTCTGCCTCCATCCCTAAATGGCATGTACCTGTATGCATGTCTGGGCTTTCCTAAGGACACTAGTCTTACGTTAGGGCCACCCTACTTCAGTGTGACCTCATCTCAGCTCATTTATTCTGTAATGATCCTATGTCCAAGTTAGGTCCCACCCTTGATGTCTTGGTGGTAGGACTTGGACATGTGAATTGGGGGTTAGACATATTCAGCCCCACGGGCCACTTTTCAGGTGCCTAACAGTGATGTGTGCTCCATGGGTCTGGACGATGTAGATGCACAGCGTTTCTAGCATCATAGAACGTTCTGTGGACGGGGCAGAATAAAGATCCAAGCATGTATCTGAGCAAAAATAAGAGGGTCTGTCTTCTGTTCTCCTGATTCCTGTTCTTGTGTGTTTATTGGGAACGGTGACAGGTGGAGTGGGGGCTTGGTGGAATCTGGGTGACTGGAGCCTGGGTCACCCTAAATCTCCTGCCTGTGTGAGCTGGTCCTGTGACCCTCTCTGCCCCCAGGGGATCAAAGGCTATGCTTTGACTGAGCTGAGCTATTTGCTGTTCCCTCCTATTTGGTCAGCTCTGCCCTTGCTTCCCACCACAGTGGCCTGCCTGGTAGGCACGTACCCTTATTCTTCACGTACCTGTTGCCTACTTGGCCTCTGGCTTCAGCTTTAACACCATCCCTCCAAGAAAATCTCCCCTGATTTTGTCTCCTCCCAAGCCTCCTCCAGGCTCCCAGAGTGGCCCGAGCATCTCCATCGCACAGATGGATACCCTTCCTTGGCCCATCTCGGAGTGAGTGTGAATGTATCTTGTGCACTCATTGTCTGGCCTGAGAGAATGGAGGTGATGGTAATAAACATTTGTGCTTCAGCTAGAACAGTTCTCCTCCCTATTCCTGCCCTGCCAGGCTACTCTTGACTCCTCAAATCTGGGGCTTCCCTGGAGAAGCCTGGAAAGGGTTGGAAGCAGGAAATATAGCTGGAAATATAGCTGGTGCGTTAGGGTTTCCGTTTCTCATTCATTCATTCATTCACCTGCTCATTCATTCATCTAACTACTGTGAGACAGGTTCTATTCTGGGCACAGGGGTTATAAACAGTCCAGCGCCTACTCTCATGAAGGTCATATTGTGACAACAAATACCTAAGAAATGCCCAAAATCATTTCAGGAAGTGGACCATGATGGACCTTGAAGGATAAAAAGGAGAACCATACAGAAAGGGCTGGGGCAAGAGCAGGGCGGGATGAGCACATGGGGCTGCATCAGCTGGACACATTTTCATACTAATACTTATTGAGCACTTAATGTGTACCTAGCTCCTGCTAAGACAGTTCATGCGAATTATCTTATTGCATTCTTATACACTGGGGGAGAGCTTTTTATTATTTATCATCATATTTGGCAGCTTAGGAAACTGAGGCCCAGAGAGGTTAGGTAACTTACCCAAAGTCACATCACTGGGAAAGGGAGAAGTTAGGACTCCAGTTCCTGCTGTCTATCGGCACAAATGCCACCTCTCACTTGCAACATAAGTCAGGCCTCAAGTTTTCGGCAAACATATTGGAGGCTGAATGTCAATTATAAGTGGAGCTGTTGTGTTCTGCACCCTCTGGTCTTGCCTTCCCATTTGTAGGAGGGGGTGTGAGTTTCTGATGCTCCGTAAGAGTCCTGGTCCTGAGACAGTGGGCTCTTAGAGCTGCCAGATTAGAGGATACAAATTTGGGACACCCACTTAAATTTGAATTTTTGATGAACAAACAACTTTTATTATAACTATGCCCCAGATATGAGTAAGCATAAGTGTGTGTGTGTGTGTGTGTGTATATATATATATATATATATATATATCACCAACTGCTGCACTGATGCCACTGCTGCACTGATGCCAGGCGCCAGACTGCAAGTCCCGTGATCTATTGGGATCCGTCACTTTAAGAACCTACTGTCATGATTTCTTCAGTTTTCTTTCATTCATTCATTCATTCATTCATCCACCAAAAGACCCTACAGACAATCCACTGTGCGCAAGGCCTTGAGTTAAGTTCTGGGGTTACATCAATGCACAAAAGAGGCAAAAATCTATGCCCTCGTGGAATTTAATATTAACATTCACTAGGACTGTTAGGTGATTTTCTCAGACTTACGCCAGAAAGACTGCGATTCCCACGATCCCTTCTGCTAGTTCCACGGGACTACAATTCCCAGAAGCACCAGCGCGCCGGGTTGGGCCCTCCTTTTCCTCATTTCCAACCTCCTTCCGGGTGGTAAGGTCGCGTCATGTCCCGCCTCAAGCTATCCCACTTCCCACCAGCAAACATAGGGGTAAAGTTCCATTGTAAATAGGGTTTTATAAAAGACTTTATTTTTTTGACTTGAGCTTAAGAGAAACGTCAGCAGTTTTAGTCTAGCACAGCTTGTATCAGAGAGTAACTGACGGGGCCTACGACTCCCAGGTAGTTCCGCGAATTCCGGGGGAACTACAACTCCCGGCGGGCAGTGCGGCGGACGGGCGGTCTGCGCCGGTGCCTGCAAGACCCCGGGGAGGGCGTAGGCTGCCCGGCGCGGCGCCCGCAGGACCCCGGCGCCTACCCATGCCGAGGTGAGTCTGCGGGAGCGCCGCCGCCGCTGTCCGGTCCCTGCTGCCGCTCCGCGCGGCCTCTCCGCCGGCCAGGATGCTGGAGGAAGCGGGCGAGGTGCTGGAGAACATGCTGAAGGCGTCGTGTCTGCCGCTCGGTTTCATCGTCTTCCTGCCCGCTGTGCTGCTGCTCGTCGCGCCGCCGCTGCCCGCCGCCGACGCGGCGCACGAATTCACCGTGTACCGCATGCAGCAGTACGACCTGCAGGGACAGCCCTACGGTGCGTGCACCCCGGCTCCCGGCCACCCCCCGACCCCGGCCTCTCCCAGCCCAGCCGCCTTCCTCCGGGCTCCCCCGAGCCCGGCTTCCCTACTACCAGCCTCCTCCCTGGGGCTGCCCCCAGCCCCGGCCGCGCCCTGGCCTACCTGGCGAGGATGGCACCCCCCGAGCCTGTCTCTGCTTCCCGGGCTCCAGGTTCCGCCACTCCAGTGTGTCTAGCTGGAGTCCAGCCCATGGACCGCCGCTTAAACGCCCGCTGAACGCGCCAGCTCGCTCAGCCCCCTGCCCCCCGCGCGGTGTCCCGCGGCCCTACCTCGCTGGCCCTCCCAGCCCCTGGCACCTGGCCCTGGCAAGGGCAGGGGGTGCTTGCTCCGTTATCCGTAGCTCCCACCCTCAGGCAAGCTCCCCCTTGCTCCTAAGCCCCTGGGTGCCCTCGCTCTCGGATTCCTAGCCGGGCCACATTCCTGTGCCCCATGCTCCCTTTCCCGGCCGCCGCCCAGGTCATGCCCCAGTGCCCTGAGCGCCAACCTTTGGTCTACTTCGTTTGGAGGTGAGCCTTCCAGCCGGTTTCTGCTAGGCGAGCTCCACAGGGTGTTCCGCCAGCCTCCGCTTCTGTGGTACTCTGCTGTGCCCGCATTCTGCCCCCCCATCGGGGCTCTCGGGCGCTGATGAAAAATCCAGTTCAGGCCCCACTTTAAAGCCTGTTCTCCGCTTGCCTTCCACTCTCTCTGGTCCCAGCTCATGAGCTAGATCTGTCTCTCTCTGCCCCAGTTCAGTTTCCTTACCCTTGGCCCGTGGAGGGTCCTAACCTGTCACTCTTCCACCTCTCCCTCAGCTTGCTGTGTCTCCACGTGCCCCCACTCCCCAGGGTTTCTGGGTTGTCTATGAGCCACCTCATTTTCCTCCCTGGATTTCCATCCCAGCTAGCACCCCCAGGTTCACTGGGCCAGTATCCCGTGTGCCTCCTTGCTTCCTGCCTGTCAAAATCCTGGCTCCCGTGCCCATTGTTCTAAATTCCCTTAGTTTCTCCTGACTGTAGCTGTATCTGGTTTCCAGAACATTCTAGTTTCTGGTTTATCTTTAAACCTGCTATGTTAGGTCTCTGGAAGTCAAAGCCAAGCCCCCTATAAAGGAACCCCTTTGCTCATTTCTTCTCTGAGAATGCTCCCCTTCCCTGCCCCAAGTTATGTTGTTTCCATTCAGCGCAGAAACCCAGAATGGGTGTGACCAGGGGTGTTTCACACCCCACAGTACCCAGAACACCCTGATATTAGCCATGCTCCAGAGGACACTGGGCTCAGAGGAATGGCTCTAAACCACAGGCGTGGCAGTGGAAGAGCAGGAGCACCCCATGTCAAGGGCACATTTTATGCCTCATGAGGCACTCCCCCAGGGGATGGTGTTCGCCAGAGCTCTGTCGCCAGAACTTGCTGTGGTAGTGGCCTGGTTCTGGGCCTCCTCTGCCAGTCATAGGTGCCGGGTGGCACTTGGAATATTGCATCTAAAATGGAGGAACTGGACTTTGTGTCATTTAATTGTAATAAACTCAAATTGCCACCTGAAACTGGTGACTGCCATCCTGATCTAGATCTTTCTAGAGCTTTTATTGGTTTCCCAGAGGAGTCCGAACATAAAAGGCCCAGATCTTGGAATGGGGGATGACCTGTTTCTCTGGCTTCTGGCTCGCTGCTGCTTCCCTGTCATGCCCGCGCAGGCTCCCTCCCAGCCAGCGCCTTGCTAAGAGCCTCCTCTTCACCTCGCCCTCTCTGATCTCCCTCCTCCCCGGCGTCCTCTTCTTTCACTTTTAGTTCAGCCTCCTCTGCTCCCTGGCCTCCCGCTCCGAGCCCCACGCGCCGGGAGTCTTTCCCGAGGCCTTCCTAACTCGGTGTCTTCCTCCACACACTTTCCTTCCTGGGCCCCGGTCTTTGTTGCTCCCACTGAGAAGCCCAGATATTGGGGATGCGGGGGTGGGGGAGAGGCCCCTTGTCCACAGCACAGGGAGTCCGAGACCTGGCGATCCTGGCAGAGCTTGGCGGGGGCCCCTGCCACGCCAGCCCCACCAGTCGCTGTCCCTGTCAGTAAGGAATGTGGCGCACTCGCCGCTGCCATGGGAGGCGCTGGGAGGGGTTGGTGGTTCAGGTGGTTGCAGGGGCGCGCTGTGGGTCTGAGGCCATGCTTGTCCCCAGCTTCGGAACAAAGCTTTGAGGGGAGGGGGCCCTGATCTCTCCTGCTGGCGCTGCCCTTCAGCTGGCCGGCGAGGTCGCTGCTAATCAGTCTCCTTGGTGACTCGGGCTGCCCGGGCTCCCCGCCTCTGGCGCAACCCTTGCTCTGGGTCTCCCCTTTCCCAACTTCCTGTTCGCCTGTGTTGAGAAACCGGTGAGAAATGGGTCGGGCCGTGGGCAGGGAGGCAGGTGCTCTTTGTGCTGGGGTGTGAGCAGCGGCGAGGGAGCCGCAGGTACAGGCTGCCCCCTCGTCCCTCCTGCCAGGTGCACGCTGGGCCTCCTGGTCACACCTTCTCCTGTGTGTTCACTTTGAACGGGGCACTTGCTGTGTGCCCGTGCCGCGGGCCTCGCTGGACAGCCCTAGAAGGGGGACCTCAGCGTGCTCAGGACGCCCGGCCCCCGCCCCCAGGCCAGACCTCTCCGCCCAGGACTGGCTGCTGCCCGGGGTGAATGGCGCGCTCCCTGCACACACCCCGCCCGCCTCTGCGCAGGGGCCTGGTGGCAGCTGCAGGACTGACTAGATGTGATAGAGCCAGTGTGGCCAGCGAGGCTGGAGGGTTCCCTTTGGTCCTCCGAGCAGTTTGCCTGTCCTGACCAGGAACGGCCCTGTCCAGCGACTTCTGTCTAGGGGTCCAGCGGCCGTCTCCAGCCTCTGTCATGCCCACCTTGCGTGTGCACTGCAGGGCTGAGGTGAGGGGTCAGCGTGCTGGCTTCAGCTTGTCAGCAAAGGCGGTCTCAGCCCCTGGGGCATTCAGAGTTCTGGGGTGCAGCGGGCTGGTGTTCCCCCCTGCCCCACTTCTTCTGTCCGTCCTCCAATTTCACTTCCCTTCCCGTGAAAGTGAGGTCTGCAGGAGCACCAGGCCAGGGAGAAGATGCGTGCAGTCGGCTCCACAGGCAGCGCCTGCTCCCCCAGAGCCAGGCAGACATTCTAGGAGCCCCTGAAGATAGAGAGCAAGGGACACGTGACCAGCTGGTGGTGTGAGAGCTTCAAGGTCATCTTGAAGGTCTTTGCTGCCCTCCCCCTGCCAGGCCCGCCCAGGTCCCCACCACTGCCCTGCCGAAGCAGAGAAAAGGCCCCCAGATGGTTGGCCGGGTGTGTCCTGCCCAGGACTGTGCCCCTGTGCCCCGCCACCCCTCAGCAGCCCTCAGGATGCTCCTTAGACCTGAACCCCCTCCTTTCTCAGAAGGTGGAGACCAGAGCTGCACTCCGGGGCCTGAACCCAGGCCAGCAGAGGTGCTGGGAGTGAGGAACTGGGCTCCTCCCCAGCGGTGTGCCCTCCAGGAGGGGCTGGAGCTGCCCGGTTGTTTGGGCACCCTTAGTGGGTTTCAGACCGTGCCTCCGTGTGCGTGTGTGTAAGGGTCGGCTGGGCGATGTCCCAGGAGGCTTCTGTGGCTGTCACAGTTGTGCGAGCTCCTGGCATCGAGTGGGTGGGAGCCAGGGGTGCTCAGCCCCTCATGGTGCTCCTCACAGCCCCCCATCTGACAGCAGCTTACCAGAAGCGGAGAAAGCTGGCTTGTCTGGTGCTCTCTGAGGGGACATGCTGGTGCTCCGACGGATGTGGGTTTCTGAGCAATCACTCAGGTCCCTGCCCCGGGCATCCTCAGTGTAGTTAGGAGTTGCTGTGTGCCCTCCTCTGCTGCGAGGCTGGCACTGCACCGGGACTCAAGGGGGCTGGATGCGTAGGGACCAGGACACTTCCTGGCGGATGGCTGTGCCTGGGCGAAGTGACAGGTGGTGGCACATGTGGCCCAGTGTGCCAGGGCAGGGACTCTGACCTGCTCTCTAAGTTGACCGGGTTTTGCCATGGCCAGGAATGGCGCCCCAGGAAAATCATCCCTAGACAGAAACCAGAAGCCCCTTGAAAGTGTCTGGAGCTATGACTGCTGCAGAAACAAGCAGGCTCAGCCCTGTGCCACCCAGTACCTGGGTTTCTAGAAAGCCTGTATTTCTAAGGGTCTTTAAGAGAAACTAAGTGGACGTGCTCGAGGGCTCTCTTCTGCTTTCTTGCTCAGGAGTTCTAGCCTTGGGTCCTACAGTGAGCTTCAAGGCCGAGTCAAGCCCTCCCTTATTCTTGTAAATAAAGTTTTATTGGCACATGGTCACGCCCTTTGCTTTTAGACACCAGCAGTGTGGCCTGCTAAGCCAAAAATAGCTCCTTACTGGTCCCTTGGGGAAAATGTTCGCTGACCCTGCTTGTAGGCAGGTGGAGGGGAGTGGATCTGACCCTGCTTGTAGGCAGGTGGACGGGAGTGGATCTGCCCTGCAGGGTCTTGGCTTTCATTCCCTGTCTCAAAGGGTCCTGCGACTTCCTGGTGGCCAGGGACATGCTGGACGTGGCCTTGCCTCGCTCACGATGCCTGTGTCCAGTGACTGGACTTGTGGGCTGCGGGCTGGTGGGGCCCAGGGGAAAGTTCCCTAGTCAGCCCGCCCCACTGAGGATGCCCCGTCTCGCAGGTACGCGGAACGCAGTGCTCAATACAGAGGCCCGCACCGTGGATGCAGACGTGCTGAGCCGCCGCTGTGTGCTCATGAGGCTGCTGGACTTCTCATATGAGCGGTACCAGAGGGCCCTGCGGCAGTCGGCGGGTGCCGTGGTCATCATCCTGCCACGGGCCATGGCTGCTGTGCCCCAGGATGTCATCCGGGTGAGTCCCTGCCCCGACCTGCCTGGGCGCAGTTCACAGGCTTCCTTGGGAAAAAGTCCCGGGTTTGGAGTTGACTCTGTGACCTTGGACACGTCGCTTCACTGCCCCTGTGCACTTCACCTGACCTTCCAGAGACGGGGTGATGCCTTTTCGCCTCCGTCATTGCTGCCCCGGCATCACCAATCCCCCAGAGGCTACAGGGCGGTGTCTGAGGACATCTGTGTTTGTCACACTGAAGGTGTGTGGCCAGGGATGTCGTTCAGCACCCCACAGTGCCAGGATGGGTCCCCACAGAGACCAGCCCTACTCTGATGTCCAGGGACAGAGGGGATGGGACCTGCTTTGAATTAATGGGGTCCGATAGCATCCCTCAAGGGTGCTGTCAGTGAAGATGCTGCTGCAGATGAGAAGGGTTGTGGGGTGTTGGGAACCTACACTCCCCAAAGACTAGCTCAGAGCCAGGTGGTCCACACCCCGCTGTCTGTGTGGTTCCTGCCATCAGCCCGGGAACCGGCTTCCATCACCTACTGGCACCTCAGGAGGTGACGGCTGATAGGGACAGGGTTAGCCCACGGTGGCTCCAGATCTGAGCCCAGACCTGGCCGGCTCCAGCGCTGGTCCTCCCGGCTGCTTCCTCCCCAGCCCTGCTCTCCTCCTCCTGCCCCTGCCCCCTCCCTTGCCCTCCCCTCAGAACCTCGCCTGGTTAGCTGACCTCCCCCGCGCCGGCCCTCGTGTCCTGCATAACTTGAGGTGTCCCTCCGGGGACAGCTGTTGGGCTCCCCTGTCCCTTCCTGCCCCCTTCCACCAACTCGTACACCAGAAGCCGCCAGAACTTGTGTCTGGTCCACAGCAATTCATGGAGATCGAGCCGGAGATGCTGGCCATGGAGACCATTGTTCCTGTGTACTTTGCCGTGGAGGACGAGGCCCTGCTCTCCATCTACGAGCAGACGCAGGCCGCTTCGGCCTCCCAGGGCTCTGCCTCCGCTGCTGAAGGTGTGCGTGGGGTACAGTGGGGCAGCACGTGGGGACTTCTCTAGGGCTCTCATTTCTGGGGACCTGCGTCAGAGTATGCACGGCTCCCGCTGCGCCTTGCACTGCAGTGAGGCTGGGCAGTTGGGGCAATGTTGCAGAGGTCCTGAGGGGCCTTCCCGGGCACCCACAGGGATGGCCTCTTGCTTGACCGTTACAGGTTTTTTTCAATGTGTCAAAAGCAGAATTAGCCTCTGGAGAATGTGAGCTCCCCAGAGCTTTAGGGAAGCCCCAGCCCAGAATGACAATGTGGCATCTAGGGTGGACAGAGAAGGATCCGGGTCATGTCTCCACAGCCGGCAGATTATGAAATTGGGTTTTCATGACTTTAGGGGCTGGGCTGGAGGGTGGCGGACCATTTGCTGAGAAGCTCCTGTTTCTAGGTGTTGGCTGGTTTGCAGCTCGTGGGGTCACAGGCCCTGCCAGGGGGGCCACCTCGTGCACACTCCTCATTGTCCACGCCCGACTTGGTCCTTGGAGGCCGGGGCGGCGGGCATGAGTGTGGGATGGTTCTGTGCGCTCCCTGCCGGCCTGCCTGGGCCAGAGAGCTGGTCCCCAGCTCTTGGGCCTTTGCAGTAGATTCCATCCTGGTTGAGTCATCCCCTTGTGTCATGTGGTCATATCTGTCCACACCTTTGCTCAGGTTGAGCCCCTAGAATCTTGGATTTTGGGGTGATGAGGATATGGTTTTGCCCCCAAGGGGCAATCTTGATACCAGGATTGACCCCCTGCTCCCCCGCCTCTGTCCTCAGTGCTGCTCCACACCGCCACTGCCAATGGCTTCCAGATGGTGACCAGCGGGGTGCAGAGCAAGGCCGTGAGTGACTGGCTCATTGCCAGCGTGGAGGTGAGTGAGGCCTGGGGCTGTACCCACCCAGCCAGCGCCAACCAGTGCCAGCCACTCTTGGGGAGCAGACTGTTCTCACCACCAGTTCCCTGTGCAAGGGAATCTGATGGGGAAAGCAGGTCAAGTCCCCTTTCAGAACCTTCCAGTCAGGGGTGGGCTCTGCCATCACCAAATGGCCCTGCCCCGTGCCTTTGGAGGCCCGCAGGGACATCCAGGCTGAGCGGCCTGTGGTCAAGCAAGGGACGCTGATGTGGGGCAGGGCTCTGGGTGGAATGGCTGTTTCGCTGCACCAGGATGGAGGCGGCAGGGGAGGACAGGCGGGGGGCTGTGACCCTACTCAGGACCCCTACTTGGGAGCTGCCATCGCAGTGTCTCAGCCATTAGGACGGTGATAAGATGAGCGTGTCTTAAAAGTGCGCGGAGGATCGCGGTGGTCTGGGCATGGGAAGCTGCACTGGCCAGAGTCCTTGCTGTCCAGCTCCCAGAGGTGGGTTGAGCTGCAGTTGGCCTGGCTTGCCAGGGGGTAGCACAGACAGCTGGATCTTATGGGCCCTTCTCACCTTTTGGGGGTCAGTTCTGACCTACCAGCCTGCCTGCCTGGCCTTTGTTTCTGGAAACATCTGCACTGTAGGCTCCCACTACTCTCAGGGCACCTGGTCTCCCTCCCAATCCTTCCGACCTCTGCCAGCCTGCACAGCCAGGATTGGGGTTGGTCCTTCTCTCTGGGAAAGGATGGGGCCCACCGGCCGGCAGTGCACCCGAGCTCTCTGCCAGCCCTGCATCCCCGGGCAGCTGCGCCGCACGGCGTCCTCCCATGCGGTGTGGCTCGCGCCCTTGCAGAGCCTGCCATCTGGTCGGGAGACTCAGAAAAGCAGTGCCCTTGGCCACGTGCAGGAAGCTTGTCTGATCCCTCCACAGCCCAGGGTTGCCACACACCTGTGGGCAGTGCCCCGTGTAGGAGGTGTGGAGCATCTGTTGACAGAACAGAAAGTCATTCCTGGTTACCCGGTTTTAGTGAGGGCTCATCTGCATACAGCGAGACCCCCCAGCGTGGGGCTCCGTGGGTTTTTCTGGCACCTGGTCCGTACCGCGCCCTTCCTTCCTGTGAACAGGGCTCTCCTGCCATTGAGGACGTGGCTTGGAACGCACCGCTGTAGGTGGGCTTGGCCTCAGGTGGAGAAGCACATAGCAAGAATAGCCAGCAGATTCTGGTAGCTAGGCCAGGGGTGGCAAGCTGCAGCCTGCAGCCTGTTTGCGTTAAAAAAGTTTATTGGCACATGGCCAGGCCAAAAATATGCCTCCACCCCCCACCAGGTTTGGGGTGACCCGGGCTACCTCTTCTGTCAGACTGCGGTCAGCTAGGCCCTTCACAGATGGTCTCTCTGCAGGGGCGGCTGACAGGGCTGGGCGGAGAAGACCTTCCCACCATCGTCATTGTGGCCCACTATGATGCCTTCGGCGTGGCCCCGGTATGTATGCAGGTGCCCCTCAGAGGAGAGAGGTGGGTGCTCCCACCCTGTCTAGAGGCGGAAGCAGGAGTAGCTGCAACACTTGTCTAGTCCCCAAGAGGACCTGGGGGTGGTGGCATTGTGATGCTGAAACAAACACCTAGGCAGGGGTGGGGTCTCCTAGCCAGAGTCCCACACCAAGTAGGTGACCCAGCCAAGAATGGAGACGAGGGTGTCAGGGTCCCCGAGGCCATTCCTAAGTGCAGGAATTCACTGGGGGGGACCCCCGGACCCAGCAGATGATCATCTTTATGGCTGTGGTTTGAGAAAGGACAGCAAAGGATCAAAGGGAAAAGTTGCATGGGAGCAGGGGATCCAGGGAGGCCAAGTGGAAACTTCCAGAGTCCTCCTTTGGGATCACACAGGACACTTAATTCTCTCAAACAAGATGTCAAGTGAGGTATGGTCCCCAGGAAACTTGTAGAGGCCCAGTAACCGGGGGGCGAGCACCTGCAGGGTGGAAACCACATTCTGTACAGTTTAGGGCCAGAGAACCCTGGCATTGAGGTAGCAGGAGCCCCCAAAGTCCAGCTCTAGAGGATGCCAAGGGGCAGCCTTCCCAGGGGTGTGGCTCAGGCCTGCGGTGCAGGCTTCTGCTCTGCTATCTCCAGTTGACGAGAACTCCGGGCTCACCGGATTGGGGCGTCACCCAGCATGTAACCAGCTCCTGCTTCCTTCCTTGGGAGGTTTTGCTTTGAGAGAAAAAGCCACACCAAACGGTGCCGATGGCAAGGTGCACCCACCACCTGGCATGAACTCCTGGCCATGCCGTGGGTGAATAATGGCCGTTCTGCTGGCCATCCTGTCTGGACTGTCCTTGAGACTGCCAGGACCAGCTGGGCCTCAAGGGTCAGGCCCTGGACAGTCGATTGGAACCGCTGCTGTTTCTTGCAGGTGTGCCTGTTAGGAGCGAGTCACATGGGACCACATATGCTTGGCCCGTGGTGTGTGGCTCCTCTCCCTGAGCACCACGTCCCCCCATCCAGCTGCCGTAGGCACTGTGGCTCTGGGAGGGCCCCACACTGCTAAGAAGCCAAGATTCTATTCGCTTAGAAAAATTGTTACCCCGTTAGGACCCAGATGAATCAAGGGGGCTTTCACGGGGCCTGGGGCAAGCTGGAGGGGCTCTGTACCAGCCCCCCCACAGCGAGCGGGTGTGAAGGTTCCAGTGCGGATGCCAAGGCCAGGTGGAGGCCACGGGGGTGGGCACCTCTGCCTGCTTGGGCCCCCAGGGGGAGCTGCCCACGGGCGAGGGGTAGAATTACGTTGGGACCCTGCAGGGCCTGGGGCTCTTCCCTGCAGACACCAGGGCGCCCTCGCTCTGGGCAGAGAGGAGGGGAGTAATCCTCTCTGCACGCTGGGAACATGGGCTGGAGACAAGCTGGGGGCAGTGAAGGCGGCCGCCAGCCTGGTCTGTGTGTCCCGCAGTGGCTGTCCCATGGCGCGGACTCCAACGGGAGCGGCATCTCTGTGCTGCTGGAGCTGGCGCGACTCTTCTCCAGGCTCTACACCTACAAGCGCACCCATGCCGCGTAAGTGACCGCCGGGCAGGAGCGCCCCCCGGGGGCAGCGAGGCACAGAACACGCTCACGCCCCTCCCCTTCCCCGTTAGGCCTCCTGGCCTGGAGGTGGTTCTGACCCAGAGGATAAGTCTGTGGATGGCTGTGCTGGGCCCACTTGGCTTCCAGGAGTCCCTCCCGACGCTCCCACTTCAGCCTGGTGTCGGCGGCAGCGGTGCTGAGTTCTCGCTTTTTATCTTCCTGGGTCTGTTTCCTAGTTGGTCCACCATGTCCTTCCTGGTTTTGAGAGCTCAGAGAAGCCTCTAGAAAAGTGGTTCTCATCCAGAGGTGATCCTGCCGCCCGTGGGCTTGTCAGGGTTTCGTGCTTCGGGGGGAGCACCTTGTTGGAAACCTGGTCATTTGCCTGTCTAAAAACTACACCCCCCACCTCTTCTCCCCTACCAGGTATAATCTCCTGTTCTTTGCTTCCGGAGGGGGCAAGTTTAATTACCAGGGAACCAAGCGCTGGTTGGAAGATAACCTGGACCACACAGGTAGGAGGCCCCCGGGTGGGAAAAGACTTGGCGCCAGAAGGGGTGCGGGGCGAGGCTCCAGGGGCCCACTGTTCTTTCTGCCCCCCTCACCAGCTGTCTCTCTGCTCTCACAGATTCGAGTCTGCTGCAGGACAACGTAGCCTTTGTCCTCTGCCTGGACACAGTGGGCCGGGGGGACAGCCTGCACCTGCACGTGTCTAAACCTCCCAGAGAGGGGACGCTGCAGCACGCCTTCCTGCGGGAGCTGGAGATGGTAGGTGGCCCTGGGGCGAGAGGGAGCCTTTCATGCAGCAGCTTGGCTGGATGCGTCCATTTCACAGGCAGGCCAACCTCAGAGGTCACGTAGGTGTCGGGCCAGGTGCCAGCCCCTCCTTATGTAGCAGTGCAAACCCAGGGACCGGGAGTGAGCTTCAGATGGGGCTCTCCCCGTTTTGCAGACACTGGAGGTTCCAGAGGGATTTGGGACCTTCCTGTCTTTCGAGGCCCCATGTGAGCATTTGTTGAAGGAGCCAAGGCAGGTGTGAGGGGCCACTGCATGGAGACTGGATTCATAATGAGGGTAGTGGGGATGGGGGATGTGGTGGTGGGGGGGTCACCTGGTGCTGCTGCCCAGAGACGTGGGGCTCGAAGGGGGTAACTGGAGACAACAGGCAGGCAGACCCCCTCACTGGGGAGTGACCTGGGAGAGGTGGGGGGTCTTCCTGAGAGCAGAGACTGGACCCCAGCTGAGGGCAGGCGCCCCTGACAGCCCCACCCTTGCAGGTGGCTGCCCACCAGTTCCCGGAGGTGCGGTTCTCCATGGTGCACAAGAAGATCAACCTGGCAGAGGACATGCTGGCCTGGGAGCATGAGCGCTTTGCCATCCGCCGGCTGCCAGCCTTCACCCTGTCCCACCTGGAGAGCCACCGGGACGGCCAGCGCAGCAGCATCATGGATGTGCGGTACGTGCCATGGGACTCCTTATCCCCACTCCTCCCACGGCGGCCTCCCCCGACCAGACCCTGGGAACAGCCCCACGCTGCTTGTTCCTGCTGCTGGAGCTGGCACCAGCAGTAGACGTGGGTGCCCGAAGCAGAGGAACCTGCTCTGTGGGGGACGCAGGGGCGGCGGGAGCCTGGCAGCACGAGTGTCAGGAGAGGGGAACAGCCTGCTGGGTCCAGTGGGTGGGGTCACTGGGGTCCCGGGACCCTTCCATGATCTCAGACCCTGACACTTCGGTCCACCCTGCTCCGCAGGCACTTTCCACCTTCAGCTTGCATGACACACCCCAGCCGTGGAGAGCTCTGCCTGCACCCCAGCTCCTGCATCTGCTGGGGAGCCTCTCCCACCCTCCTTGCCCAGCCCCTTTCTCACCTTACCTCTCTGTGACACTGACTTCCCCACTTCAGATCTCGCATCTGCCTCCCTGCTAACATGCCTGTCTTTGGGGGACCTGGGTTTTGGTGGCATCTTCTGCTCCCGGTCTAGGACACTCGAGCCATGCATACTCTTGACCAAAACTGGACAGCTGCCCAGCTACTGGCATGTGTCCTCTAGGGAGATGAGAAGGTAGTGCTGCAAGGGCCTAGCCCTACTGGGGGTAGGTGAGGTACAGAGGACAGTAACTCAAGCAAGGCCCTGGGGCACCAGAGAGACTGAGCTGAGGGCCAGGAGGAGGACATTGCAGGGCAGAGGGCACGCAGCAGTTGGGAGAGTCAGCTTGCCATCCCCCTTCATTCACCTCACCCTAAAGGACTCAAAAGACCCCACACCTTGTACCCACTTAGATCAGTGACATCTGTCCCCCAAGTTTGTCCTTTATGGGTCTGGGAGCCATAAGCCTCCTAAGCTTGGCACCGTCTTCTTTCCTGGGCCCATGGGGCCAGAACAGGCTCGCTAAGGTCCCCAGGACTAGGGGACCCCAGTGGTCACCTGACTGAACTAGGTTATCTGCGGCTCTTCGAAGCCAGTGGGTCCTGGGTGACCTGCCTGAATATACCAGCTGGGAAGGCTGGCTTGTGGCCTGCAAGTGGAGGCCGTCCTGTTTGTCCCCCGATCTCTTGAGACAGCTGAACCGCGGTGGCCCTGTTTGAATCCCCTGGAAGATGTAACAAAAAAGCAGGTCTGGATGATAGTCAGGAGGGTGTGGCTGTCCCCAGCCATTTGGGTCTCTCTCCTGAACACTGATTTGCACATCAGCATGTGATTCAGAGTAAACGCCATTTTCAAATGGAGGGAGTGCGTTGGAGTCCAAGTTGGCTGTCTCCGAGCCCACCCGCCTTTGACCACTCCCTGCTCTCTCCCCGCAGCACTGCTGGCATTGGGGTGGGTCATGGGGGACCTGTCCTGGGTTCTCTGGGGTGTGGAGCAGTCTCCCTCGGCCCCACCTTCTTGATGCCAGGAGTGTCCCCAGTTGTGACAACCACGTGTGTCCCCAGACATTGCTCAGTGTCCCCTGGGAACTTTGGCTCAGTGCTGGAGAGACTGGCCCCCAAGCAGGGAAGGGCCGCCAGTGCCCAGGCCGCTCTTACCTGGTGTCCCGGAGACCCAGATACCGGTGCGACCCCACCAAGGTCCTGTGGCCTGATTTGTGTCCCTCAAAAACACGTTCCAGTCTTAACCCCAGACCTTCAAGTTCACGATTTGTGCATATGACCTTATTTGGAAGTAGGTTCTTCGCAGATGTAGTTAGTTAAGTTACAATGAGGTCACGCTGGAGTCGGGGTGGGGCTCAATCCAGGGGGCTGTGTCCTGGGAGGAGGGGACACAGGGGAGGGCCTGTGACCAGACTGGAGGCTCGAGGCCGAGGAGGCCGAGGATTGCCGTGAACCACCAGATCCCTGGAGCGCCGGGGCTGGGCTCTGCCACAGCCTGGGGGCGCGGGTTTGCACGGGGCCTCAGCAGGGTCTATGTGCCCAGCACGCCTGGGTTACTGATGGGAAGCGTGTTACTAAAGCTGCTGGGTAGTTTAGGGCAAGGAAATAGCAATCCGGGGGTGCAGTGGTGCCTGCCGCCGGTGGGGCTGCCTTCTTACTCTCGTTATTCATAAATACATTGATTGTCGTTGCTTGATGACCAGAGGATGTTCACTCCCACTGTTCCTGTTTTTCTTTTAATCTAAGGTCTCGAGTGGACTCTAAAACCCTGACCCGTAACACAAGGCTCATCGCAGAGGCCCTGACCCGGGTCATCTACAACCTGACGGAGAAGGTGAGCCCGTGGTGCCTGCCAGGGCCCGCCCCCCCAGCCCCCTGGGTCCAGGCTCAGCCCACCTCCTGTCTCCACAGGGGACGCCCCCGGACATGCCTGTCTTCACAGAGCAGATGGTAACGCTGGGACGGGCGGGTGGGGCGGGGAGGGGTGAGGGTGCGGAGTCAGCGGGTGGGTGGGTGGGACAGGGCCCCGGGCGGCCAGGGTCCGTGACCACTCAGCGCCCCTGCAGCAGATCCAGCAGGAGCAGCTGGACTCAGTGATGGACTGGCTCACCAACCAGCCCCGGGCGGCCCAGCTGGTGGGCAAGGACAGCACCTTCCTGAGCACGCTCGAGCACTACCTGGGCCGCTACCTGAAGGAGGTGAAGCAGCACCACATCAAGGCGGACAAGCGGTGAGGCCGCGCCCCTCAGGCGGAGAGCACCAGCTCCCCAGGGAGCCCAGGGAGCAGGCTCTTCGCTCTCCACCCCCCGCCCCTGCCCGGGGCGCCAGAGCGAGCAAGCGAAAGTACTGGGTGAAAATGAGGTGACACAGAAAGTGCAGGTGCCAGTTAGGTTCCAGCCCCGACGAGCACCGGGTCGCGTTAGTGTTGGTAGCTCCACGTAGCGTTTGGACGTTTATCTGAAGCTCGCGGGAGGGCAGCGTCCTGAGTGTCGTCTGGCGGTCCTGCACCCACCCTGCCTGGGCACCGTGCTGGCCCCTCCTGCGGGCCTGTCGGGTCTGTCTGTTTGGTGCCCCTGGACTCCAGTGCAGCCACGCTGGTGCCTGGTACCTCGTGGTGGGTGGACATGGCCAGCTTGCGCGTGCCCCTCGGTACCCTGCAGCCTCCCTGACTCATGTGCCCCTGGGGGCCGTGCTGGACAGAAGAAACCGGAGCACAGAGCTGGCCCACGGCTGTGAGCTGGGCCCTCTGATTCCCCCTGGAGACACGCTTCCTGGACAGCACACGTTCTGCCAGTCTCAGAGTGAATTTTCTACCCCCAAAACAACAGGAAAGGTGTTACTCAGGCTACAGGGCGGTCCTCCTGTGGGTGCTCCCACTCTGTGTGGGGCTGCGAGCCCTCAGGGTTGTCCAGTGTCTGGGGGCCGTGGGAAGTGACAGGGTGAGCCCCCTGAGAAAGCCCTGTCTCCCCAGGGATCCCGAGTTTGTCTTCTACGACCAGCTGAAGCAGGTGATGAACGCGTACAGGTGAGCTGCTCCCGTCGCGTGTGGCAGCCTGGCTGGCGTGCACTGGCCACCTGAGGCCCATGTCCTCCCCTGACCCCGCTGTCCCCCTCCACTCCCCAGGGTCAAGCCAGCCATTTTTGACCTGCTCCTGGCTGTCTGCATTGGTGCCTACCTTGGGATGGCCTACACGGCGGTCCAGGTGAGTAGGCTCCGTGGAGGGTGGACCTGGCTGGGCTGGAAGTGGGCCTCGTGGCTTCACTCTTGCCCTTTGCCCCTCAGCATTTCGACCTCCTGTACAAAACAGTCCAGAGACTGCTCCTGAAGGCCAAGACGCAGTGACGGGCCTCGCCAGCCCCCGCTCCCCTCGTGCTCACGGTGGCCGGACTCCTGAGCTACAGAGCTTCCCTGTGTTGCTATCGAGGATTTGGGGTCTTTCTACTTTGTCCTTTGAACTGCCTTGCAGGGGCATTTGGGGGTGGCCCTGGGGCCAGGCCATGGACTTGGAAACTAGCCCTGGACGAGCCCCCAGCCCCGGGGCCAGCCCTGACTGCCAGCTCTCAAGGAAGCCACGCTAGGAAAGAGGAAGCATGAGGGCCCCTCCGCCAGGGCCGCAGCTGCCACTCCCGCCTGGGACGCCGCCACGCACAGCAGCCACGCAGCGCACACCCCCTGTGCTGGCTCCAGCTGACGCGCCCCTACCCGTGACCTGGATGTTCTCCGTGTTTCCTGAGAGGGCACCCAGCCTCTGGGTTCTGGCCTCTCCCTCGGAAACCTCGAGTCCCCGCCTGGGGGTGGCTGGGGTTGCCCCTCAGTCAGGAGACCTCAGGACCTGTCTCCCTGAGCCCTGATGGGTGCCCGGCGGCCTCCTCACCTCCCCCACCCAGCTCTGTGGCTCACCCGGATGAGCTTCCCGCCACCTCTGCCCCTTCTGCTGCGCCCGGGAGCTTCAGCACTCTCCAGCCAGCCCCCCGCTTGTGACATCCCGGACCCCAACCGCAGACCCTCGGCCTTGGCCTCAGGCTGTCCTTCTGGGGACCTGGGTGTCCTCAAGTCCCTGGAGGAGGAGAGAGGCCCCTTCTTCCGGGGAGGGAGCCTAGGAGGGGGTTAAGGGAAGACAGTGGGGTGGGAGAGGGGGGCCTGCAGCATGGGGTTGACCTCAGGGAGACCCAGAGTATCATTCATTAGCAATATAATCAATTAAGTGTTAAGTGCTTGGGGGGGGAGGGGAGGACTCAGGCTCTGGGCGCCTGTCTCCACTGCCAGGGCAGCCCCCCATCCTGCAGCTCCTGCTGTCTCTGGGCTGCCTGCGTCCTGCCGCTCTTGGCTCCTTTGCCACGCAGCCCTCCCTGGGCCCTGCTGGGGAGGGGCCGTGGGGGCCCCAGCTCTTCCTAGTCTCCCTCTTCCCTTTATATGCTCCCTGCTGGCTCCCCAGAGACTGTTTACTGAGTGCCTGGCCGCCTCCCTCTGGGGACAGGGACAGCCGGCTCCGTGAAAGGGTTTGGCAGGTGTCAGGGCGGGTGCGCCCTTGGGGCTGCCTCCCCAGGGCCACTCTCAGGACTGGCTGGCCACTCAAAACTCAGGCTGGACATGGGACGCAGTTGGGTGATCAGAAAATAAAGCCATATCGAACGATCAGCCTCCCATCTCGGCCGGGGAGGTCTTGGGAGTTGCGTCTGCTTTTTTTTTTTTTTTTTTTTTTTGCATAGAAGAACTGGGGTGTAGGCTAGAGGTGGGGGGTGGGGGTGTGAGAGGACTCACCAGAGACAGAGAGGGGAGCAGAACAGGTGGGTCCACTGAAATCCACTGCTGAGGGGAGCAGTGGGCGAGGCAGGAGAGGTCTGCTGTGCCACGTGGGTAGCTCCCTGGCCAGGTATGGAACTCAAGCCTTAGTGGTGATAGCCCTGAGACTTAACCCCTAGGCCACCAGGGAGGCCCCCCGCAAGTCACATCTGCTTTTTAAGATGTTTCCTTAAGGGAGCCTGGGGGTCTCCTGCCTGCAGCTGCAAGCTGGCTTGGCCAGTGACATCACAGGGGCTTTGGTTTTTTGGGTTGCTGTTCCTGAAAGTGCCTTAAAAAAAAAGTGTCCTGTGGGTACTGGGACCGGGATTTTGAGGTGAAGGTGTGCAGAAGCTGTCCTGAGGCTGTGGAGGCATCTGTCCTGTGCTCTTGGATTCGGGGTCTACCCTCTGCTGCCGCTTCCCATGGCGCCTTCTGCTCTGTGCCGTCCTGAGGACGCCTTTCATTAGGGCTGGGGCCCAACCCCTCAGGTGCTGCCTCATCTACACGGGTGCAGAGACCCTCTGCAGATAAGGCCACAATACTAAGGCTCCAGGTGGGCAGGACTTGAGGGGCACCATCTCTGTGAAGACACCGCACCTGCAGGTCCCAGCCCAACCCCAGAGCAGGTTCCCATCTGGGACATACCAGGCATGCGGGTCTCAGCTGGGGCCCGATCCCCCAGCCACAGCAGGCGGGCCCCAGCTGGCCCGCGTGCCCCTGGCGGCTCCGAGCCCCGCCGGCCCGCGGTGTCTGTGTCAGGCTCAGGGACGCCGGGGCCTGGGGAGGGGAAAGTAAGGTCTGAGATGTAGAGAAAAATTAAGCATCGCTTCTTGGCCTTTTGGCGAAGATCAAGTGGAGAAAAATGAAGCGCCGAGGGCGGCCTGGGGCATGTGGTTTGGCCAGGGGTGTTTGGGCGTCGGAGTAAGCGAGCTGTGGGTCTTCCGTGCAGGGATGAGGAGCCCCGGACGCCCGGCCGAGGGGGGCGGCCCTGGCTCGGGTGCGCACGGGCGCCCTCTGGTGGCCGCCGCGGGGGGCCAGGTCGCGGGATGCTGCAAGTGGGATCTGAGGGCGCTGAAGGCCCCTGAGCAGCTGTTGCACGGGAGACGGGTGGGAGCGGGGGTGAGCCAGGGTGCTGAGGACTGCGCTGGTCCAGGTGGGAGATGGGGTGGACCTGGTAGGGCCAGAGGTGGAGGGATGGCAGAGTCCGGGTTCTGGGCTAAGAAATGCTTCTGCATCCAGAGGTCGTGATTGCTGAGTGTCTGGAGTCGGCTGACCTGATCTCCACGCTCTGGGGCTGGAAGGTGGCTTTGCCCTGTGCACAGACGCAGGTAAAAGTCCCCTTGTCTCAGGAGGAAAGCCATCTTGTGTCTGTATATGCAGAAACTTCCTTTCCCTTCACACAGAAAGTTCCGTTGACCATACCAAGGAAAATGCAGGTTGGCAGCCGGCATACGGGCCTTCAACACTCAGGACGCGGTCACCCTCACTTCCCAGCATATGTGGGCGTGTGTAGATAGGTGTGCACAAAATCTCGTTTTGAAAATAGAATTTGTATATAACTCTATTTTATTTATGCGTACACAAGCTGGGGTGTAGGCCACAAGTGCAGGGGGTGAGATGATTCACCAGAGACAGAGTGGGGAGCAGAACAGGCAGATCTACTGAAATACGCTGCTGAGGGGAGCAGCGGGGAGACAGGAGAGGTCTGCTGCGCCACGTGGGTAGCTCCCTGGGCAGGGATCGCTGGTGACAGTGTCATGGTGCTGAGACTTAATCCCTTGCACCACCAGGGAGGCCTGTATCTAACTTTTCAAAAGTATGAAGCGCGTGGGAATCCACAGTGGTGGTCTGAGCAGGCGGGGAGAGGTACAGCACGTGCAAAGGTCCTGGGGCAGAAGGAGGCACAGTGAAGAGGCGAGTGAGCGGTGGGCGCGGAGTGGGCGCGGGGGAGGCAGGCTGGCGAGCAGAGACTAAGAGGAGGCCCTTGGCCTGTGGGGAAAGGTGGAGGGCGGGTGGGCTAATCCACCTCCCAGCTTTCAAGGGATCGAGGGGGGCAGGGCTATTATCGCCCCGCCCGCATTTGCTCTTGTGGAAATGTTCTAGGAGTAAATAGTACCGAGAACTTCCCATCCCCTTCGCGGGTTCTGCAAACACCAGCATTTCACGTTCGCTCTCTCCTTTTCTCACGGATCTGTCCGTTTCTCCCTCTCTGGTCTCCCTCTCCAGCTCTCCCTTCTCAGTCTCCCTCTGTCGCTTCCTCTTCTCTCTCCCTGTCTCACTCTTGGTCCCTGCGTCTCCCCTCCGCCCCCCCCCCTTCGCCCCCAGTTCACTCCTGAGCCCACCAGCGTGTGTTTCCCACAGTCCAGAGCACCGCCTCCCCACCACAGTGCCCGTGAATTAGAGGCTTGACGCACGCGTTGGCCACTGTCCCTGACATCATCCTTCACAGCGAAGAACATTCTTGCTTCTATCTCCTCTACCCTGAGAGCCTCCCCTGCCCTTGTCCTTGTGCTCACGACCTTGACTTTCCCTGGAAGAATGCCCCTCACTTTGGGTGTCTGGTCCACACGATTGGGCTCAGCAGATGCATTTTGGGGGCAGGCACAGGACTATCACAGAATGAAGTGAAAGTGGGGTATCATGTCCTCAGCGCATCACTCCTCGGGGTGAGCCCGGGGCACGGATAACGGTGTCTCCGTGATTTCCCCAGTCTGGAGTTGCCCTGTTGCCCTGCGCGGTGCCTAAGCAAATTGAGATGTGCAAATGCCCATTTCTCCTCAATCTGGCTCCTCACGGGATGAGCGGGTCCCAAATCATGGCGCTGACAGTGACTGGTGAGACTGGTTCTCATTCCATCTCTCCCTCTGCACTCACTGTAGGGATTATGGGCCTGCTTTTTTTTTTTTTTTTTTTAAAGATTTATTTATGCAAGAGCTGGGATACAGGCCAGAGGCAGGGGAGGCTGAGAGAATTCACCAGAGACAGAGCGGGGAACAGAACAGGCAAACTAACGAAATACACTGCTGAGGGGAGCAGCGGGCGAGACAGGAGAGGCCTGCTTTGCCATGTGGGTATCTCACTGGCTGATGGGGATCAAACCTGCGCTGCAGAGGCTGCGGACAGCTTCACAGCGCTGTGCTCAACCCTTTGTGCCACCAGGGAGACCCGGGCCTGCTTTTATTTTCAACTTACAGAGCACAAGAAGGGAGTTCAGCGTCTTGACCTGAGACCGTCTGGAAAAAAAGGCAGAACGGGGGTGAGCGTGCTTAGACCATCATGTCTTCCATTGCTATCCTGGGAATGGTGAGGGGTTGGTGAATGGTTGAATGGTTGAGGGGTTGGTGAAGAATCATTTCTCATCCCTAAAGCCAAATGATGGGCCTCAGCAGGCATCTGGGTCGGGTGGAGACTGCAGCGTGGTGTTTCTGGGGGAAATATTCTGAGCCTCTGGGCCTACGCAGGGTGCCCTGTTAGGCTTAGGGGAATCTCTGCTTAGAAATGAAGACTCCCAGGCACCACCCCACCCTTGGATCAGAATCTGCATTTTAAGCAGGATGCCAAGCAATGCGGTGTGGACCTCACCCCTGACCCCAGCCCAGCCAAGGTAAGGTCCATGCCTGTCCACATGGGCGGGGCTCTCGTGGATTATTCTGCCCCCAGGGAACAAAGGGGCACCTGGGGACATCTGTGGTGGTCATGACTAAGGGTGGGCCAGGGAGCAGCTCATTCCCCCTCCCAGTGCCCAGGATGGCACCCCACAGCAAGGGCCTTACCTAGTATGGGCAGTGCCCCAGGGGAGAAACTGCTGCAATGGGTGGCTTTCCTTTTACATTTTTTCTTGACATTTTAAAAAAATTGTGAACTATAATTAGAGAAGTGAAGGCAGCACAGACCTACCACCGACAGGCAATTATAAGGCATTCACACCTGTAGTCACCACTCAGGTCAAGAAATAGGGTTTGGCGTCCCCCGCGGTCTTCAAAGACAATCTCCCCCTCCATTCCTGCCCCGGCTTTTATTTTAATCTTGTCCTTCATTTCTTTTATCCCCCTGCACACCTCTGTGGTCAGCAGAATGGAGGCCCCAAACACCCACTCCCAACCCCTCCATCTGGGGATGTGGTAAAGGGACTTTGCAGAGGGGATGAAGACGAGCCTCTGAGACAGGGAGAGGGTCCTGGATCCCCGGGGTCCAGTGGCCTCACGAGGGTCCTCATAGCAGGGTCCGAGGCGCGGTTGCTGTGAGGATGGGGTGAGGGCCTGAGCCGGGGTGCGGCGCCTCTGGAAGCTGGAGCAGGCCGGGTCTGGAGGTGCAGCCTGCGCGCGCCCATGTGCAGCCACGTTGGACCACGGCGACCCGTTGCCAAGGCTGTGCGCCCACGGCCAGCATGGCTCTGGGGGTGTGGGTGACTGGCCCTGGGGGTGTGGGTGACTGGCTCTGGGGGTGTGGGTGACTGGTGACTGGGCACAGCTGCCGCAGACAGCTGGTTCCGCACGTGGGGAACTCCTGACAGGCCCACGCTCGACGGCTCTCCGCGCGGCCACCTTGCAGGCCCTCCAGTTGGGGGTGGTGTCCTCCCTTTTTCTGTGTTTACATCCCTAGGAATGACCTTGTGGGGGCTCGCGCCATTTGAGCCTCCTTTCCTTTCCAGGGCCAGGGAGCCCCTCGGGCCTGGCTGTGGGGGCTCAGGGTGTCCCAGCTCAAGGGGCCGCGTGTCCCAGCACCCCTGGGCCCTGGCCGCCCAGGGGCGGTAGTGAGACCTCGGGGGCGGCTGTGACTGGGGTGAAGTATCTGCAGAGGATCCCCCTGGGGAAGGCCTCCTTGAGGGCCTGGTCTTCCCGACACCGCCCTGGGGGCCCAGGACCTCAAGGTGGCAGCAGAGCCTGGGACAAAGCCAAGTGTCGGTCATCTTTGAAGCTGGCTCTGCCCACCCCCTC